GATTAGGGATGAAACGACGTCGACATTCCTGTTCCTATTTCCAAAGCTTCTTATAGCCCTTTAAAGAACGCAGACATAAAAAGTTTGTCCTAATCCGTTATTATCTTTAAAGGGAGTCCTTTATCGCAGAACTATTCCCTTATAAAGAGTTTTGCTAGGTCCAGTGCGTCCATTATCGTACAGCAAGGCATAAACTTAGCGAACTTAGAGAATTTGTCGATAATTATAGCTATTATATCGTACAGAACCCCTATAATCGGATCTGCGGACTCCGGAAACCTAGTAACAAAATCTATAGCTATCGTATCGAAAGGTCTCTCGGGTACTTCTACTGCATAGTATTCTGTTACTACCTTTTTTCCCTGTTTCTTAGAAACCTAGCAGATTTCGCAATTAGCGATATATTCTTCTACGTCGTTCTTTATGCTTTTCTAATTTGTCTTCTTTTAGATCCTTTTGCAAGTTTTGAGCACTCCCTAGTGTCCCGCTATTCTCGAGCTATAATTCTCCGCAATAATCCCTCTTGTATCTTCTAAGAGTTCCGCTGCCTCTAGTCCTCTCGTTATCTAGCGAAGCATTAGTCTATTTTCTCTAAGCGTTATATTATGATTGCTTCTGCGGCTCAATACATCCGCTATAGTATTTTCTATTCCTTTAATATGTTCGATATAGAAGTCGAACTTAGCTATCGTTTCTATCTATCTGCTCTGCTTTTGGTTTAACTCTTTGTTGTCCAACAATAGCAGGAGATTCTTGTAGTCCGTTATTACCTTGACAGGGTGCTTATAGCCTTCTGTATATATTCTCCAGTGTTGTAATAATACTATTATAGCTAATATTTCCTTGTCTGTTGTTGTATAATTCACTTCTAGTAGTATCAGTTTCCTAGAATAGTAGGCTATCGGTTTTCTATCCTGCAATATGCAGGCTCCGATTGCTCTGTCTGATGTGTCGGTATAAATTGTAGATTCCCTATTTAGGTCGTAAAGTCCTAGCGCTTCTTTTAAAGCGAACGTATCTTTCAGCTTTTTAAAAACTTGCTTTAGTACGTAATTCCAGCGGAATCCGACCTCCTTCTTTAGTATATCTGACAATGGTGCAATTATTCCAGCGTATCCCCCTACTATATGTTGGTAAAATCCTGTAAAACCTAGGAACAACTGCAAGTTTTTAAGGGACTTAGGTTCCGGGTAGTCCTTAATAGCTTCCAACTTGTTGTATTGCATCGCGATTTTCCCTGGCGTAACTGTAAATCTAAGGAAGTCCATTTTCTTAGTGTGAAATGTTGATTTTTCGTACTTAACTTTTAAGTTCTTTTCTTTGAAAATTTAGAGAACTTTTTATATGTACTTTATATATAATTCCATGTCTTCCGAATATATCAAGATATCGTCTATATAAGCGACAACGTTTCTGTCCAGCAACCGGTACAACGCTTTGTTGACGATCCTTTATAGCGTTGCTGGAGCGTTTATAAGCCCGAAGGGCATTACGTTATATTTGTACAACCTAAACTTTATTTTAAACGCGGTTTTCTATTCGTCCCCTTTCTTTACCCTTACTAGGTTGAAAGCATCCCTTAGGTCAAGATAGGTAAATACCTTTGCCTTCGCAAACCTGTCTTTTAGTTCGTAAATAAGGGGTAAGGGGTACTGATCCCTTTTTATAAGTTTATTGATCCTTCTGTAATCTATGCAAAGTTGCAAACTTCTATTTTTCTTTTTTACGAAAATAATCAGCTGTCCGATGTTCGATTTTGATTCCGATATATACCCTCTTTTTAAGTTCTTGTCCAAATATTCTTTTAATACTCTGGACTTTTTATATGTCAACCTATATATAGGTCCAGCCTTTAGCTGGCTTGGATTATCGATTATGATTTCGTAATCGTCTTCTGTATGCTTAGGGAGAAGCAACCCTCCTTCGGGTTCCTTTAGCATATCTAGGAAGTCATTGTATTTAGTCGGGATTCTCTCGCATGCTGCTGCTTCTTGCCTTATTCTTATCCAGTATTTCCGGGCAGGGAATCCTATCTTTGTTCCGTTTGCGCTGACTAAACTTTCAGGTCTTCTAAGTAGTCGGCTTTTTATCTTTACGGTTATAGCCTTCCAATTCAGTATTAGATTCCATTTTTTGAACTAAGGTATACCTAGGTAAACATTTCTTAATCCTTAATAGATGTTGAACCTTATTCTTTCTTTGTACTTGTTACTTATTATTAGTATTTCCTTGGTTTCCTACTCGACCAAAAGCGCTTCCTTTTGCTTAATTAAGCCTATTGTATACGGATGCGTTTTCCTAGTTAAAGGCACGCCTATCTGTATAGCATAATCTTAGGACATTATATTCATAGTAGCTCCCGAGTCCAGTAACGCCCTAGTTGGCGATCTATCCAGGGTAACGTCGACGAAAATTCGTTTTTCGTCTATAACAGAGTTGTTAAAGTATAATAGTCGTTTGCCTATGCAAGAGCTGTGCAACAACTAGCTTAGGTCGTATATAAGCTAAGTTGGCTTAGCAGGTAGTAACGAGCTATAGACGCAAGAGAAAATGAGCTCTGAACGGCGAGCCTGAATACTGCGACGGTAATGCAATTTATACGTAGAGCTCCGTTAGGGTATTCAGTAATAAATATATTAACAACTAAGGAGCAAACTATCTATTGCGAAAGGAGTAACATTATATATCCAAAGGTGCTCGCACTATGCGGGCTGCTTGCAGTTAGCAGAACTGCAAGCATTGCGTTTACTGCAAGCGCTGCGAGCGATGTATAGTTAGTTGCTTAACCGAACCAGTAACGAGTATCCGTGCGCTGTAAGTCCTGCGGGGCGTAACATTATCTTTATTATTATTATTATTAATATATAACTATTTACTTATTATTTAATATTTTATTAATATTTTATTTTACTTTAAATATATTTTTAATATTCTTTAGTCTAAAAGCTACTTTATTATATAATAATAATCTTCTTCTTAGTATTAGAATCTTCTTAGTATAATCTTAATAATTATTAATAATAATATATATTCTTAGTTTTTTAATTAGATCGCTCGTTATTTACAATCTTTTTCGCCAAGTCTTTTGCAAGGCATAGAGATTACAATTATTCGCTCCGAAAACGCTAAACCACCTGGTTCTCGACCTTCAATAGCACTAGTCATGCGCTCCACAGCATCGATGTTATCCCGACTCTCCATACCGCTCGCTGCTCGTCACCGCCGTCTATATGCCCTAGAATTGCATAGGATCTCCCTTCACGCTGGCTCGCTCAACCCTTTTCGCATCTAACAAAAGAGGTAGAATACTAAATGGCTGAAGGATAAAGGGCTTATTATATCTCGCCTAAGAATATCTAAGGCGGTCCTCAGCTCGAAGTTCAAAAACGGTATAAGCAAGAGAGGTTTTAGCGCAATATACCCAGAAGCAAAATTTGGTCGAGAATTCGGTTTTGTGAGGAGCTCAGTATAGAGAATATAGAAAGCCAAAAGCTGCAATGCCAACAAAGCCTAGCGAGCCAGTAGCTTTTGCCGATATCAGACCAGGAAAAGACTCCGATCACAGCTGCGGCGGACATGGTACTCTGTAAGCTCTAGTCAATGTCAGGCATCCTAGGCAATCGCCAACATACTGCAGTGTGGACGAAACGCAGCTCTTCCTCTTTACGCAACCTGAATTTATAAAGCAGGATTTTGGATCGCCTGCTGTCATCTTGTTCTTTGACAAGTTGAGTGATTGGTCCCAAGGTGTAGTGATGGAGAGCGCCGTTATATGGCAGCGTAGCGAATAAAAGCGCCTTGCTCGTTAACCATTCAACAGCCACCATAATGAGTTTGATATGATACCGGGGAATGGAGAGATTAACATGACACGAGAATAGAGAAGGAAGAGCCACGATATATAGCCACTACCTCAGAATGCGATGATCAGGACGTGGCTGATGCAGGGTTCTTCGAAATTGACATTATTAATCATGCTAATCGTGTTGTGCCGCGTCCGAGATCAGCGATTAGCCCGCGTTGACGCTTAGGTAGGCTGAGTGATTCATGCCTTAATAGAGAACGCGATAGTCCTCAGCGTTCAGAATTGTAAAGAGCTTCGTGGTCTAGACATCTCCTTAACTCATGTGGAAGTATAATGGAAGTCGTTGGCCCACCTTGTTGTATAGACATCTATGCGGGATTTGAGTCTCGACGAGGATAGACGTTGGTATTTGGTTTATCGTATGGGCCGCTGCAAGTAATATAGCCGAGGACGACAGCCTTCTGTAGGCGTTTCGTAAAATATGCCTGGGAAACAGCCTCGCTTTTTAGGCTGTTCAACATCATGCAGCTGAGCCCGACTAGAATACGTGGGCCCTTACAACGGGCTTACTATCGCTTACGAAACATATAGCGCCCGGCGCTAGTAAATGAGCTTACCTATTACCACCTAGCAACCGCTAACGTCTCCACAAGCCACCTAGTACTCGCTAGAGAAAATACTAAAGATTAGCCAACCATCGGGTTAGCGCAGGTCATTGGAGCTTACCTCTTAGTAAGCGGCTTGGCACTCGGCTTTCTACGCACAGATAGCTTCTTACTTATTTATCATCTATTATATCTTACCACAGAGCTCCAAACCCTATATCTATCTATCAGTGACAAAAAGAGTTGCAGGCGCCTCAAAAGAAGCCCACCTGAAACGCGGCGAGCTCTGAGAGCTAGTTATGCCCTAATATTTGGATTCATGAAAAGGTCTACCTAGATTGGGACACTCATGTGTGGGGTGGGGGGGTGGCTGGTCAACGAAATCGATAGGGAGTAGCTAACAAAGGTTCTATGAAGCCCACTAATCAACCAGCTTCCATCTGATCAAACGCACTCTTAGGCTTTGGTGCCCTCTCCTCCGATTAAACCAGGCTGAATGTCCCCCTACTCACATTCGAGGAAAGCTCTCCACTTGCAATCAGTTTCATCTCAGCCACACAGCAGCGTCCTTTTACACAGTCTCCAGTGAGATGGAACTTCGATATCGGCGTTTGTTTTACGCTTATGCTATCTCCTTCGCCCTCCTAAGCATTTTCATCGGACGTGACTTTGATCATGATGATTTAGTAGACGTACAGCGACGAAGGTTGCGGACCCCATTTGTATTCTGGGCAAAGAATGATTATAATGCGACCGAATTACGCTTATTGAATCACGTTTATCGAAAATCTCCTGATGGTATCAAATGGTTTAGTCACACATATGAGCCTCCCGAAGAGTCAGGTCCACATCAAATTGAATTGGACCATTCGTTTCTGAGCCTTAACCCATACTTTATTCAGAAGCAGCAAGCAATATTTCTAGAGTACCTTTCGGTTTTTCAAAAAAGTGAAAAACGGATATATATCCCTGCAGGAGATAATAACGTTAATTCACGGAAGCTACAGTCGTGGGATTATTTCAAAGATATTCGTTGGCGTGCGATTACTAATTGGAACGGGTGGAGGCATGCTCGTTTAATTGTTTTAAAACGCCATGAGATTGGATTTTCCGGCAAGGCCTATGGCTATACTACCGGCGAAAATCGAATTGGGGCAATTAAAGAAGACGGCGCTGAATGGCACTACAATCCATCCTCAGCGGCATATGAATTTCTCGGTTTCACCCACCTAACCGATGCAAATATCAAGAATGAAGGTTCGTCGCAGTTCTCAGAGATCGGACAATTCAAAGGCTTACCTTTCATCGACTCGATAGCTAATGATCTTGTCCAACGCTGGAGAAAAGCAGGCATAAAGTACGACCTGTTGTCAAACAATTGCGAGAGTTTCGGGATACGGCTTGCAATTCATCTCTTTGAGAAAGAAATCCGCACATTTGAATACCCAGACGACACAGTCGATCGCCTTATGCAGGAATGTGAAGCTCTTTCTTCCAAGTCGACCCTCACTGAAGTGTCATTCAATATCCTACGGTCAGGCGCAGATACATTTGCATTGGTTATCATCAACACCATTCAGCTGACTGCCGCTGCACTACTTCATTACATCACTGCATCAGATGGTATGCTTGCGGTGCGGAGACGCCAAAGAGCTGATCAGGCGCGAAAAGTAAAATGAGGGCATGCTCAGATATCAAGGGTATAAGCGCCTTCTTAACTGGATCTGGAAAGAGTAGCGAAGGGCTCAGGTAGCAATCAGATGCTCTTTCTTCTGAAATTGTCATTAGAGATTGTCTGGGTTCGCTTCAAACCACTACGTCAATTCTTAATATTGTCCCCAAAGTACTCTTAGATTCATACACGAACAGTAGCATAGATGAACTTGTCCCTTAAAAGTGTCAATGATATCATCGTATGCGCGGAGGTGGTGGCCAGTTAACCGATCAAACAATGGCAGATTCAGGCGTTACGCAAGGCGAGGCTTATAACCAAAATAATACGAGAAAGTAGCTGCTAGTCTGAGCAACAATGACCGCTGCCTTTGGCTGATTTATACATTCCAGGCTTTGAACGCGCCAAGGACTTCTACAACGAGCATACTTCATGAGAGCTAAAGGGCAAGGAAAGCCTTAGGCAAGATGACGAGCGGCACACAGGGAAGCTTTCTAAAACCGTTATGATTATTCGAAGAATGCTGGCAAATCCTATCAGTGGCATTCTACAACTTATGAACTGGCACTCTCAACCACGAAGGACAAGGTGGAATATATCTTCCAGTGACCTCGCGTATTATCGAATATCTAGTCGATCTCACCGTCGGCCATGGCACAGACTTCGGCGAGACAATGGTCATGGTCAATTAGCAAACATGTTGTTGATCCTTGAGCGTTGGCTATGTCATTTATGTTTACTCCTCTCGCGGATTGACCCCTGAAAAGCTTCGCCATCGAACTCTCTGCCTGATTTGCGTCGTACTTGTAGGTTTGAAGCTTTAGATCGTTCGTCTCTGGGAAGAGTATCACGTGTTTTGGGAATAATGGTGCACGCTGTGGTTTCACTGGTACTCTGGAGTCTGGACACTAATGGATCTGTTGGGTCTGCAATAATTCGGCCTAATAGAGACTCCGCGTACTCTGCAGGTAAAGAAGGCTTGAGAATGCAAAAAGCCCGGCTGAGATCCTCTGTTGGTGCCATGCAAGCGACAAAAAGAGTCGCAGAAATGTGAATGTCACTGACAACTGATCATTGAGAGTGATTTACACCTGCGCAAAGGAGGTAAGCACAGCGTTACGTCAACATTTATGTTACAGCTTTTAGCTCATCGGTGAGACTTTATGGGCGAATTCATTTAAGGCTGCCAATGCTTACGCTGCCTAATCCACATGATCTTTGGTAACGTTCGGAACGCACAGGTGCCTGGCGGAACACATCGGTGAAAGACGCTTACTAAGCTCCAAAGCCTTCTTCCTTCCGACTTCGTCATTGCACCACATCTTATATACTGACCATAGGGCAAGCCAACAAGGCGAATCAAAAAGGCAGACAGGGTCTACGAAAGAGTCATCCCGCGGAGTCCATCACCTGGACTTTACTTCGGACTTACTCTTATCTACAGTCTGAGAACCTTGCATACCAAGCATTTTCATATCAGGGGAATGTCCGCAGGCTAGGTACGAAGTGTCCTAGTGATATTCTTCACCGGCCCTTGGCCTGAATCTCGCGCATGACGTCAGGCTTCATACTTCCCCACCTGCCTCCGCAAGTAGCACAACACTCCTACGTTCTGCCCTGTCCATTCTGCCTTGTCCATTCTGCCTTGTCCATTCTGCCTTGTCCATTCTGCCTTTTACATTCTGCCTCTTACATCTTGCCCTCTGCATCTTGCTTTCTGCCTTGTGTCCATGCATGATCTTGCATTGTCACCTTTATTTCTACTGTCAAGACTGATCAAAAGCGGGCAAAGCTTGAGGCATTTCAAACCCAACAAGAGATTCACTTACTTCTGTCTCCGCTCTCGGCGCGCCTGATTAGGCACCTGACTCCTCACTTCACTCCTCCACTCAGGATCACCTACTTATATCATGGCATCGACCAGCGACAAAAGCTCATATCGCGCATTGGAGGCAGCCTTCTATCATAGCTAGCGCAAAGAAACGTCAGCCGACATGCGCTCTGCTTCGGAAAAATATGCTGGAGCCAGTGTTATCGAAGATAAACAGGTTGTCAAGTGGTCCGTATATAGGCCGTTAGACTACGTCCCAAAAGCAGCTGATCCTCTGCCCATCATTGACGATATCGATACTAAAAAGCGAAAAGCAGTATCGTCTATCATATATGGGAAGACCGTTCATGACTGACTTTGATAGGCAGAGAAATGAGCGTGCGAGGCTGGTCTAGCTGCAGGTTGGTTGTATTGTCGGTGGAAAGTCCCATCTAAACACACCCCCCGCCCCAGATATTGATGTCAGGCTCTTGGATTCAGAATGACTTCTTCTTGACCTTGGCTCACTGGTTATTTACAGCATCAAAAACCTTCGATACTGACTATCAAAGGCAGGGGGTGCTAGAGCAGATGAGCTCCCCTGGAGGTGACAGCCTGTGCGTCATTAGCTCTGATAACATGTCCTATGCACACAGTAAGTGAATCTCGCTTTGTGCAGTTCCATGTCATCAAGCCGATTAAACAGGTGATCTTATCAACGAGCCCGTACGCCTATGGGCCTTAGATGAAGTCTCTGACATCGCTGTCTTCCGTGCTTGCATACCTCACGACACACGTCGCTAACACGTCGTTAACGCCACCCAGATTGATACAGTCTGCACGTCTCCAGCCAACTCATGTATCTTTGGCGTCGCGTACGCGGTAGAAGATTCTGATATTCCGAACAAAGACCAATAAGTCAAGTCGGCGATCCCCGAAGTGGCAAAAGGGATGGAACAGTATCTCAACACTATTACAGGAATAACATGGCATAAGTACCAGCTAAGGAATTATGCTGCCACTTTGCAATTAAATGACCACGGCAAAGAGATCTATCAGAAAGCCAGGGAGACGTAAGACCAACTGTTCCCTCGGGGAGCTCTTTGCTGATCCGCTAATAGATAGACCGAAAATTCGCAAAGATCTTCAAACAGGACGAACGCGCTATGGCTACCGGCCGAGTATTAGCAGTAGATGGCGATCTCATAAACCATCCAATCGAGTGCCTGTCTAAAGCCTTCCTCAATTGTTGGCCCATCAACATGAGCGCCACGCATGGCTGCTCCGGAGGCATAGTCGGAACAATTGTGGAAGACAGCGAAGAACATTCCGCGAAGGTTGTCGGAATGAGTCAGTCTCGCGTAGCCGCAATGAATCATTAACCTCTAACAGTAATGACCACCTCCGTTCAGAATCATGAGGTAAGTTCTGTCACTCATTGGCTGATTTGTGGATCTTGACGTCCCCGCGCCGGTGAGAGATTCTCTCTGCTTCTGCTTCCTGTCTTCACGCGAACCTTTCTTGGCGAAAGATTCCTGCATCGTGATTTGATCTGGGAGCGTTTATTGAGGAGTGTAGGTGTAGAAGGTTGAAGCCGAGGTAGATTGAAGCTGGAGAAAGCCGATTCTGATTAGACAGATGGTTTGGAAGGCCAAATTCGGATAAGAAGCTTGTTGTTAGGAATCGTGGATTTCGGTAGAGTTGGGAGAGTGTGAGGACTTTGAGTTGGATGGATTGAAAGAAGAGTACTTGGGAAGAGCAGAGGGTTTATATAGGCAGAGGTAAAAGGGTATGAGTCAACGCCGGCTTGTGAGGCGTTTGTGGTGGCTTGCACGCCACCACATGAGCAAACCTAGATACAACAAGCGATAGGACACAGGTGAGTAGTGGTGTGCGCCCATCGCTACGGGCGTCATTCGTCCGCTGCTACGAAAGTTAAAAGCGACCACAAGAACAGGTCTCCCTAAGTCTCATAAAGTAAAAAGTAGACGGTTATACTTTGCTAGTTGTCATCATCGTACGCTGATACATGCTCGATTGGAAGAGGCGGGCGCTTCTCTTCTTCTGCATCGATAGCTTCTTACTTGGGAGATCGCATTTTCCGGGGACATGCCGTCCTGCAATTCCATAGTCTTCGCAATTGGTTACCGTACTCCGACTCGGCGTCACTTGAGGCTGACATAGGTGGCGACTCAGTATCGCGCGGGAAGATATCAATTTTTTTGATTCCTCGAGCTGTCTGTATCCATCCTTACCAAACACTGAAAATCATCAGCTGCGTGATTAAACGCAAGAGATACGGACGCAAGTACTTCTTCATCCTTTAAGAAGCCACTTAAAATTAACCACCACTTCATTTCGCATGGCAGAAGTGAGTATCTTCAAATGTAAATCCAACGGTAGGAACACCATTTCTAAGTGATGAAGCTCAAAATATCGACAGTCATCTATGAAGAAAGACTATTTGAATATGAACGATGACAGAGTAACTTGATTTCTGACCATCAAAGTGAATTCAACAACACTTCAGCAGTGACGGCAAGTGTTAAATGAGCCATCAATTCAGCACATGCGCTAGCATCTCCGCCCTGATAAAAGTTTCTCAGCACGATAGCGGTCGCGAATTCTGCGATTATAAAGCTGGACTGGCAGTGTCGCTCTATTCGCGCCGAAGAGAGGGTTGAAATTTCTTTAAGGCATGATAAATGCGGACCGAGAACTCATAGAAGATTCAAGCACTGGTTGTTTTCAGACCAAACATCCCATTATCCCCGGCCTCAGGGCCTGCCATCAAATCGTTTATTGGGGTTCTCAACCTTCCTTCACCAGATGCTGGGTCAGAAAGATGGAAAATGCTTGGGGGATGAAACCTCCACTTTCATGCCAAGGTCCCTCTACATATATCCTTGTCTCCCAAAGCCATGTCTCGCGGGCGTCTAGATTTCGAACAAAATAAACCAGTGGTATGCGATGGTGGGGACTGTCTCGCCACTGGGTCAGATCAAGTCTGAGAATGAACCCGAATCCATACCCAATGTGAGAAGTTACACTCACAACTATTGTTTGACCTGTCATCGCACCAATTTTTCCTCGGCCCATCGCGTACTAGGGACCGACATGACCCCCAAGGACTCTACAGCGCCTTCTCACACACAACTACACTTCCAAGGATCAAAACTAGCAGTCGGATCCTCTTTACACGTGCCACCATCGCAAGCACTCCCACAAGTCGCCTGATCCGCATAATTCCCCACCTGGCAGACAGGTGCGCCCGTCTGTCCCGCGCCAGCCGGAACCGTAGGCATTAAGAACGCCGACAACTCCTCCGGCGCAATCGTCGGATCTGCGTTGGAATCATACGAACTCTCGACAGTGAACCAAGATTCTGTTGCTTGATTCTCGTAGGCGTAGGAGACGCTCGATGTGCGTGTAATGATAGTTTCGAAGGGGCCGGTGGGGGTGGGGTTGTCGGCGCGCTTGGCTTTGGCGAGGGCAGGGGCGGGGGCTTCGGTATCGGGGATGGGGTCGTCGATGATTGTGAGGCGTGAGCGTTTTCGCTTGGTGGAGATGCCGGCAGGGAGGGGGATCTTGGTCAGTGAGGGGATGTTGTTCAGCATCCACATACCTGGATTGTAGGTCAGCTTGTGTCACTGCTAGGGGATAGTGATGTTGCTGACCTAGACCTTGGAGCGCGTAGCTGGGCGCTGTGTCGTGTCAGTGGAAGAAATCTGTGTTGTCAGAGGACCATACCGTTCGCAATACTTTTTGAGACACCCTTGTCCTGTGCGAGCTTGTAGACGTCTGGCGGCGAATTCGCGGCATCGTCAAGGCTGATTTTCTTGGCTGCGGGGTTACTCTTGTAGAGTATGCTGTTCCATAGACTCGTCGTGGTATAAGCAGCGTCATCAATAACGTCTGTCCTTGCCTTGCCATCTTTGACCTTCTTCATGTAACCGCTAAGATTATCGGGCCTTTTCCAGTACGGCGGGCATAGGTAGACGTAATAGTCGTCCTGCTCAAGTGGATCAGTCACATCGTTTGTGTGAATAGTGCATTGTTCCAACCTTAAAGACATTGCGCCAGATCTCAACATAAGCCTCCGCATCCTTCAATTTACCGTAGCCACACTTGCGATCGAGCCAGCCACGGATTGCATCATCGCAAAAAATCCACATACCGTTCATGACAGGTAGAGGTATAGGGATATTGAACCAGCCGTCCTGGGCTCGTATGTTTTCTGTCCCCGGAAGTCAGCCTATTCCTTGCTTTCATTTCTTTGCATTCGCCTACGAAAGAGCTGTTTGCTATCATCACTTTGTTTGAGCTCCCCCATGTAAGGTTGCAGGATCCGTTGATTTGCTACATGGACAGAGGAGATGTTGTGCATTTCCCAAATCGCTTTTCCAAGAGTTGCAGCAACCTCCTCAGTCTTGCAAGTCTCCTTGTTGATGTGCCAGATCCCGTTGTTCCAGAATGTTACGCCTGTAGCATGGACGAAGGGCGGGTCAGTATTCTGACTTCTTGTCAATGCAACAAATAGAACAGTCAAGAGCAACAAGTCGAGCTTCATAATTGCGTGGGTTGAATGCAGCTTTGCGTAGGATTGACGACAAGAAATTCAAAAGAAACGGGCAGAAGTCAATATGAAGGACTGAAAGAGAGATCGCCCTAAGACGAACATCAACCTTCTTATACACCTTGCCCTTGACAATTTCCACCAACAACTCTTTAATTTGAGGAGTGGGAGAGGATCGTGACCACCGTTGCAAACTAGTAGCATAGGAACAAGAGGAAACTTTGGCCAACGGTGCATTGTTAGGGTCTGGTTATTTCCAACCACAGTGACGAAGATGATTCAACAGGGTTTTCTATTGAAGAAGAACAAGCTTTAGATTAAAGTCTTGCAAGACTTGTGTCGCACCCTTGTGAGCAGGGCCCGCTGCCAATGAAAAGACTCGTGGAAACGGGCTTGAGGTTTCATGGCTTTGAGGCTCTTCAGGCTTTCGTGTTAGGCCGCTAGGGTTAGTGATGAAAGACTTCTTGTTGGTTGATGGTTCTGCTTAGAAAGAGGTTCGAAATTGATGTCGACGTTGGGGTACAGCTTTTTGAGTCGGTCCAACAGTCCAACAGCTGGCTACGCCGCATTCGACCACAAGCCTCAAGCCACAGCATGAGCAAGCAATTTTGACTCCCAGTGACCTCGCAAGCATTTCAATCCGCCTGTATGCGTTGAGTAGATTGCAGAGTCTGGCTTATACAAAGCTGGTCCCATGATAATTCACAACTCGATCGCCCTAAAGCCTGTGATTGCGACGAGGATGTAAAATCGTGAAACGTGAACCAACGTCTGGTCTTGTTGTCAATAGGCCTGATGCCCATTGATACAGTCATTCTTGTATACTCTGGAAAGGGTTCTGCAAACTTGTGCTCTGGGAGGTGATTGGTGATTGTTTTGGCAAACAGCGGATGTAGGTGGCGCTATGTTCCAGGTTCGACGCGTCAATGCTCAAGCTTTGTCACTAAGAGGAGTTTCAGTTTGACAATGCAGAACTCCGTGAACTGACGAGCTCACGAACAAAGCCTTGAAGTATTGCCTGCGATGGGACTTCGAGGGTCCGTAAGGTCATGTGAAAGAAGTGAAGATGGACCACGGGAGATTACAATACAGGGTCCTTGGCGCCAAGACCTGCTCTTAGCGCCTGATAAAAACGTTTCTTACGAATAGCCTGGTAATGTTTCCGGGCTTTTCTATGAGCAATTTCTGTCGATCATTTACTATGATGACGACCGCGATCGGTCTCAGGAAAACGTCTTCATGTTACCAACGTCGAACAATAGTAGGCTGTTATCACCTCCGAAGACACTGCTTCGTCTCTTGAGCTGATGGCTCAACACGAAACCTGCAGCGTAGCACGCGCCTATCGAGAGTAGTCCTCCATCGAAGCAAAGAGAAGTCTCATCAGCCCAGTCTCTTGTCTCAAAAGCAACTTGTGTGTCTTGTAGTCTCAAGCAATGATGGTAAACTGGTAACTTCGCCGGACATGGACGTGACAAATGCCACTTCGCCTTTATAAACTAAGGCGTCCTCCCTCTTTAGCGAGCCTTGGTACTCAATACCGACCATATCACCAGGTCAGAGCCTCGAATAAGAACCTCGACCTATAGGTTTACATTGAAAAAATAGTCAAAGCCTAGGTGTAAAAACAAATTAGTAGGTGCATTTGCGCAGCGATATTCCTCGCAGACAATTTACGTTCGCCAAAAAAGATACGGGGCGCTAATACGTAGCCATTGCGCTGTGGACAAGTGACTCGTCTCATCCACAAACGAGGACATAGCAGCCGGCCGAGAGCCATTTGGTGTCGATTTCGGACGGCATTTAGATTTCATTGTCGACTTGAGGCTAGTAGCCAAAGAAATTCCCACAAATTAGCAGATCTCATTATCACATAAGGGAATCTTTGGAGCCCAAGCGACAACTGCCTACGCGGTTCTTCATGTTGGCTGCTGCTTTTAATATCCTTTTTAGGACTGAACGTTCTGAATGCAACGAGCACTTCAATTTTCCCAAATCAATACATCCTCAAGGACATATTGTTTATACTTTCAGGAAAGCTTTTCCATCATACAACTTGTCATATTTGGTATCAAATGGTTCACCAAGTGGGGGCGTAGACCGATGTTCCTATCCCATCATCTTTTGGTCATCTTATCTCAAGAAGCATTTCAATTCTCACAATGCCAACAAAGACTCCTCACAAAGCAATTGTCTTGAAATAGTAGCTAGTACAACAATGGTAGCCAAAGCCTGGCCGAACAATGCCAGTGGTACATTAAGCGGTTCACTCAGCACGCACACAATCATCTCGATCCCCTTTGTCGAATCACATAAGTCAAACACTCCAAAATGCCTCGCCGCCAACAAATTAACGATCGGAACTCAATGAGCCTCCGCGCGTTCGCGCATGGCAAACTTCTCGAAGTCCGTCGGCGCCTCTCCTTGCCTCCTGTTCCCCCTCCGACCCTGCTACGCCGGACCTCTTGTCTCCGGCACGTGACTGCAGCGCCTCCTGCCTCCCCGGCGCTGCCCAAAGCGACCCTCATGTCAATTAGTGCGCTATCCAAGGCGACCCTCGTGTCAATTAGTGGATGTTCTGCTGCAAGCCAACAATCACCTCCGCCATCAGTGACTAATCCTGGAAGAAGAAGGAGAGCGACGGTGTCTGAAGTTCATAAAGACGCAATTGGTGATTATGTAGCGGCATGCGATAGATACAACAAGGATGTTAGAGATGAGGATGTGATAGCGGCTATGGAGAAGATGAAAGATGCTGAAGAAAAGTTGGTTGAGAAGATCGGTGGGGTCGAAGGTGGCGACACGGCACAGGTGAAGCGCGGGAGGGGTGTGACTTTCTCGGTGTGATTGCACCATCGGGGAAAATGAGGTTTGGTGAGTTTGAGTCTTGTTTGAGTATGTATGTTTAGAATGCAATGTATTGCTCGATCAGCACATAATTCACCCACCTCGCTTTGAACACCGCACCGTTTTGTTTTTTTCCCACGATATTGCGCAAAGATTCTTTTGAGTAACGTTTCGACTGATTAATCTATATCGAGCGGAGTTACACATTCTATTGCTATATTCGACGAAGAATGAAGGTACGCAAAAGGTGTAAGTGGGCTCAGCAGAACCCTATGGGATCTCTTAATATTTTGTGGAAGCCCGACCGAGGTACACAACACAAGAGTTTGCTTCGATCAAGTGACCGAGACTGACTCAATGAAGGGCGTTCTTTTCATCTCGATCAATCCAGTGCCGGATGATTTGAGAGGCTCATATCATTCCGGAATTCCTATCATAGACTGAGGATCAAGTAGGCAGGGTCACTGGTCACATTGATCGATATTTGTGCAGCTAGGATTTTACACATATTACTGCAATTATGAGCCACATATTACTGCAATTATGAGCGGTCTTTCTCTTATCCTCTTGGTCAGTCAGGCCTCAAGTGTTATGTTATGGAGGCTTTATGCAAATGGTCAGTCTAAGCTAGACTGGCACCTGGGGAGCTTTCCAGCCTCTGCCTTAGACCTCACTATCAAGGGCAGCCGATAATGGATCGGCAAGTTTGGAGGCAAGTCAAAATCGCTATCTCTAGCCATGACCCTGTGCAAAGCTTGACGCGTGAGAGAATGCACGTCGGACCTTCTTTGCCAGACTAACGATCCAGCCTCTGACCTTCCGTTTCTTGGGTTTTTGTATGAGATCCCCAAAGCCAAGATCCACACTTGAAATTTCGGATGGCCACTGGAAATCCGAAGTCAATGCTATGGAGCATTTGTCATAGTACGTGTCAAAGTTCGGGTCGGCCATTCCGGCAGCTTTTGCCCAAGCCGCCGTCTCACTTCCTCCAGGACCTAGGACGAGTCAGTATTGTACTACTGAACATAGGAGGTTTTTGGTATGGCTAATACCACAAAGACAGGGAGGATGACCTCCGTCCCATGTCTGATCGCTCAAGGAATCTCCTCTCGGCTTCCCAAAGTCAGAATTGTTGTAGTTGAAGTTCCAGGGTTTGCCCCAGTCCGAGGCATCACAGACCGGTAGTGTCCAGCTACCTGCATAGCGCCCGGCACAGATGTCGAAATCCTGACAACCCTCAGGGTACAGGGCTTGTGTCAAAAGCGTAGCGTTGGAAAGAGGGTATGAAAAGTTGAATGGATCTGTGCCTGTTTGTTTCGCCAGTCTGTAGCTTCTTGCAGATGCTTCGGTAACCCACTACTTTAATTAGAGGCTGCAGAGACATGATTGAAATTAGAGGACCCACAGTTAGGTTCAAGCCTACTTCAGAGAGCTTCTGACCACCCCAAGGATAGCCTACAACGCCTTGATGCTGCCCATCTTTCGGAATGAAGTTGTATGTGTAATAAACACCCTCATCTGCGCAATACTTGGAATCTGGTGGGCCCGTCATATCTGCCACGCAAGACGCATTCGTGTTGATATCGTTTAAGTTGACATACAAAACCCACCTTTTGTTGTTGGGAAAAGTATTCCAGAGTTCATTAATAGAGCGAGAAGTGATCTCAATGTTTATGTTCAACTCCAGGTCGCTGACTGGCGTAAGAGCAGTCATTGAATCTACCCATGTACCATTTGACATCATATCAGTTATGTTGAAAGCAGGTTCACTCGGTACGATACTACCATTGAAAATGAACAGTGAAGCCTTGTCAAGTGCCGTACCAAATTGTCGGTATATCGCTTTGGCTCTCGGTGCAAATAACTTCTGTGCTAGATCTGGATCTTTCGACTGCGATATCGATTCTGATAAATATGAACTGAAGGCAGAGAGTACATTTCCTCCTGCTCCTATTGCAGGACCAAAAGGCTCTATACCGGAGAAAAGACCTAATATTGGTCCCAAGCCTGCTAAGATTGAACCTATCCCAGGATCAGTATCGGGTGTCGGGTAGAAATCGTCAATGTTGAAGTTATCTAAGGCTGTCGAGGCCGCCGCTGCGCCGAGAGCAACCCAAACGTTGTTCAATTGTTGATTGATGTTTAGCACAGAAGCAATGACGATATAGCCCCACAAGGACGGCAAGACTGTCTTCTGCAGCAGTAGCGCCGTCCGTGAGCCAACGTCGGTACATACAAGATTCTGCTTGCAGGGGTTCTCCAGGTTGCAGTCGAAATTACCAACCCCAAGCAATTGAATGCCCAACGCTTTTGTGAAGCTTTCACCTTCTGATAAACCGGACCACCATACTCCGTCAGGCGTTGCTTCATGCGTGTCCGAGTCGTCGCCACCCTGAATAAAAGCACGGATTGAATCGTCCGTTGGTGTGCTCCACGACTTGACCGTGAGATCCCACAGCGGACTTCCATCACATAAGAGCTCTGAATGCCTAGAGACATCCGCTTCTCCATAGCTCCATCCCTCACCACTTCGAATAAACGCGACACAAGCCAGTGTTTCGTTAGGACTTGATGAGAAAAATAGAGAGTAGTCACTGATTAGTCCTTCGCCAAAGTCATTATAGTAACCGGTGGTGCTATCGAATTCCAGAAGCATAATGAAACGGTTGTACAGCAATTTACATCGAGCACTGCTCGATACGGGCACACTGGATATAGCCTCTTAGCATCACAATAGCGCTGAATAGAAGGTATCTTTGACATACCTGGGTTCGCCATGCCCAAGAGAGATATACTGATGGTCAAAAGCAGGTGATTTATCAAGTCCAGGGATCTGAGCGAAAGAGATGATCTTGTCCTCTCTTACAAGGATATTGATGAGCGCTAAGGCTAAGTCATTTATAGCGTTGTCGTTTAGATTATTATTGTCTGTGTCAGCTGGCAGATAAAACACAATAAATGTTGCGTCGCCCAGGGATATCTGATCAAACGGACTAACATTTTGAATCGGGGAGCTAACGGATTCGTCATGGCCAACATAGATAGAAAGCGGCGATATGGTCGGGCTGGTATCTACCCCTTGACGTCGTAGCAACGAAGAGTTCGACGCAAAAGCAGCTGAGACTGAGAAGTAAAACACCAACAATTGTCTAAATAGACATAGTGCCATTTCTCGCAATAATGTGTGGACGCAGGATAACAAGCCAAGAGTGAGTATTAAACTCTTATTTAACGCCTCTGCAAAGTCCAATCCTAAAAGTGTCCGAGTAGTCTTGGATTGCGGAAAGGCGCTTATACTCTCATGCAGAGGCAATCGAACCCGCCCCAAGGAATATCATCTGAACGCCATTCTTACGATTGTCTCGAAAAATTTAAGCGTCTGGGTATAAGCCGACGTGACGACCCACACCCGACAACCTTGCAGTGATCCAGATCCCTTGGCCCCACCCCACACTGACTCGGGGATGTACGGCTTCTGCGCCAAATCCAGGTCACCCCCTTATCTATTGTCGAGAAAAGCAAAGGAGGGCTAGATAGTAGTCTTTAGCCAAAGAAAGCCAGACTCTACATTCTGTTCGGCTGCAGAGAAACCGCCTATTCTCTAGGATCAACGATGCCTAATATACTTAGGCATCGTTGATCCTAGACTCCCTTGCTGATGCCCTCTTCACCCCTGATGGCTCAAAGGTACTAAGCATCCAGAGCAGCGACTCTCCGAGATAGCATCTATCGTTTGAGGTTACACTTCTTCTCGCAGACCAAGCATTCGCTTCCATATAATTCATACACCTGATCACGTTTTACCAGGCAGAAGATCAGCGAAGCCGATTAACGATAATATGACTACACGGCTTTTTCATGCAACCGAACATCTCTAGTTGGGCACCGGGCACATCTATCGACGGCGTGTAAGCAATATAGCTCCAGCCTACTGCATGATACAGCGCTGATTGATCAACCCTAAGTACAGCTTAAAGCCTTGAACGGGTTCTGATCCAAGTAGAATTGTAGAAATCATCCACATACTTCTTTATTGAGTGTTTGAGCTAGCTCTACCCAGTATCATCTCGAGTCCCCAATACTGCTTTTTCCCTTTTCAGAGAGCGCTAATGCGTAGAAACCACCGATTTCGCTTATCTGGCCCATCCTCAGTATCCGGAGCGCGAGGGAAAAAATGTGCTTCAATGGCTTTTGAGTCTGAGTGGTCAGGAATTGGAGCACGACAATCAGCGTTGCCCCATTCCGGATTCCATTTACAAATTCGGCTGAAGGGAATATAAGACTTTCTAACTATGAAAACTCCGATCTCACTAAGATCCGGCATTCTGACCCGCAATAAGCCAAAGAAAAAGTCGAGAAGGATGCCGCAAAATTTGTCGTAGTAGTAACGATTATGGAAGCTTGCTTTGCTGGAATGCTTCGTTGATTGCAGATAAGGCGTCAATTTGAAGGCAACGTAGTCCCCTCTGTAGACATTGATGAGTTGAACATTATTCAGATCAACCGTCAAATTCATCTTATATCTCATGGGGGTGGTGTTTTGCTCCATAGAGTGAGATTGATGGATCAAGATTGTTTGCTGAGATCTAGATCCTATATCTTCTTTTCCACGTGGTCCAAACCAGCAACTGTCCCTGGGGTGGTGGTCATGGCTATCTCCACGCAATCTGCAGTGCCGCACCCAATAAGGAGAGGATGGTCCATGTGAGAATGATGTAATAGATAGCAGAATGATTCCGATTTGGTTGTTCTGTACGTCAAAACATTCAAGCCAGCAGACTGCAGCTTCCACCCCGGAGAGCATGGAGCAGTCGTTTACAGCATACCTTACGTATTCGGTGTCTGTTGTCAGGACTAGACCTCGGTTCCCAAAAGAAAACTGAGACCCACGCCCAAGGCCGGGGCGGAGAACGATGCTGCCACAATCGCCAAAAGCTTGAATCCGGGGAGCCAAGATCGGTGTTTCTCCGAGTATCGAGAATCTATAGCGATCATCACTTAATTTGTAAGTAGGTGGGTGCTCAGTTTGCAAGCCAGAGGGATAGAAGGCTACTCACGATTCTGGGAGCAATGAGACCATGCGAAGATTGATGGATCATTGTAGGTCTTGATTAACTCCAGCTGCAGTCGGCGAAAGGCGAGCTTTCCTTCACCGTAGCAAAGAGGCATACTGATATTGAACAGTCCAAGCAAACTATAGGCGTGGTCCTCCTCGACCGTCACCTTGCGGTGCGAAGCCCATGATAGCTTGGCAGCAATCGAACAATTTTCAAAGTGCATCAAATGCGCTTCGGACATGCGACAACCCTTGGCAACATCCTCTGCAAATTCCTCTCTCGTACCAATTCTATGCCAGTTCTGGTCGACAAATACAAAGAAAGTGGGAGCAAGGAGCTCCTGTAAGGTCCAGCTTCGTGTGAATCACTTTGCGCCCTGAAGCACCCGCCCCATCGCCTGGTGATCTGATACTCTATCAACACCCTCAAGATACCCATAACACATCCCTGAATTCCTGTACCACCGGAACATCGAATTAATCGCTTCCTGCATGTCAGCCGGATTGGTCTTGTCGATGCAGCAGGTATCTATCCATGCAAACTCCCACCCGTCCCCAGCAGCTAAGTCGCACCAGCCTTGAAGCTTTTTCCAGCCTCCGGATTTGAAGTTGCCAGCCTTGATCAACTTATGATGATGCAGCATGTCCTGGTAGGTGATCTCATCTTGGCTGGGTGAGAGCCATGTGTGCGAGATCACTGCATATTCTGGCGATGGCCGGTGGCCCAACTCCTCTATCTCGTAAGTCTTGGTATTGACAAATCTCATCTTATATCTCGTGACTTGCAAAGACTATGAGGCCGTAGGTTTGAATGAGTGTTCACTTTTCCAAAAGGCTTGCACGAATGCTGAGGAAATCGGAAAGTATCAAGGGCAATTCTTCTGAGCCCCTTTAATACCACACTTACAGGTGACGAGGCTGAAACTATTTTGACGCCTGTGGCTTTGCCAAGTCTCACTACGACATGATGACTTAATTTCCCCCCAATACGCTGCGTGCGTCCGTAAGGCTATATGGCACAGCATTGGCACCTGTCAGTCAGGCCAATGAGCAACATTACGAGTCCAGGCAAAGTCATTCTCGGCCCCCTTCAATGATCTGACACGCATGGCCGCTAGCACGCTGGCGTCTGACGTTACATGTCCTGGACGTATCATGCGTACATGCACTACACCTTCCGAGGTTCGCGGCGGGGCAGTGCTTGCACCACAAGGATTTTTGACGCCTTGCCAAGTTGTAACTATGAGATAATACAAAAACCCATCATAAGAGGGGCTCATACCCTGCGTTCTTTGTGTCGAAAAGACAAGGAGTCTTGTCAGCCTGGAACTCGAGTCCTCTTAGATCTTAGATTCACTCCCATCACACACGAGCGAGTCCTCCAGAGTGTGCATCCGATCGCCAAAGTCCTAAGAGCAAGTTCACCAGCATTGTCGGTGCTGCGAGACCAACAAACATGGCAGAAAAGGCTGCGAATACTGGGTCCACCGGATTCTCTCCTGGTCTCATTGGCTATCCACAACTCCCGATGATCGTGGCTGAATGGGCAGCTCTACTTCCCTTGGTCTTGCATCTCGCTAGTTACCAAGCCGACTATATGACGATCGGCGAGATCTCGCTTCTTGGAAGGCTTCCCATAAGCCTCTTCCCTACACTGGGCGCATATTCCGGGTTCGCGCGTCTGTTAGAAAGAGGTCCCAATTATCTGGACTACGCCAGCGCCAAAGGGGGATCAAGTCACCGAGCCTGGGATGTGAATTTCGGGAATGCCTTTACTGTCACCAATGGCGCAACAAGCGCTACAATCATGTCGTCTGTGCTTGAGAAGCGAAAGCCTTCACGCATAAGGATAGAATTACCCATACAGAGTAATCAGCAGGTGAAAGGCGACGAGGCAAGAAAAGTCTATCGGCCTCAAGTCCTGAACGTATACCAGTTTCAAAAAACGGAAGGCCACAAGCGCACATTAATTCAACGGGCACCAGGAAACTCGAAACTGGCGACAGCGTTCATGATCCTCTTAGTCGCTATTCTAGTAGGCATCGCCATCTTTTTGGGAATCTTTGGGACTTTTGGGAGCGCAGTCATAGTCCTTCTTTGTGCCATCTCTGTCGTGGTCTGTGAAACGACTCCAATTCGACGACCAGCGATCTATCTCGAAACCGGCGAGACTCACGATGCCTGCATGCTTGTTGCAGCGCATGAAAATGCGACAGAGTGGCACCTTTGCATCGGTGATCTTGGAGTGGTCGATACGGTCCTCAACAAACCGGTGATCGTCCTTCCGCAAGGCACGCGCGCTCGCCTGGCCGCTTTCTGGTTCCGGTGTGCACACATCATACAACTCACGGCAATGACTTTTGTGGCAGGTCAGAAAGGCTGGGATGGGGTTTGTCTTGTGATTCTTCTGGTCATCCACTACATCGTTTCCTGGAACTTCCATCCCAAGAAGCTGGCGAGAAGATGGCTCGAAAAAGAGGGTATTGATGTCAAGGTCGAGAGCTTCGAATTCCATGGTCGTTCGGATCTTATTCACACTATCCAATTTCTCAGCGGAACTGAATGCCACCGGTGGATAGATGAAATCATGGTGCCGCATCCACGTCGTAACTTCTCATTGGAGATGCTGCAGCTGCCAGCAAATCAAACTGTACAATTTCCAAAAGAATTTAACGCCCATGATCGGGGAAAGATGTTGCGCAATGTTAGGGCCGCAAGGCTGGGGGCTTCGAAGATCAAGGACGTGCTAAAGGATGCTAAAGTCGTATCTCACTTTACTTCTCCCTAGATACGCTTCTCAACTAGCCAGAATGTCCGATACATAGTAAGTTATATATAATGGAGAAATGTCTAAGCCCTAACTTCCCTGGAATTAGCTTTGAACAGCTAATTCCAGCTAGAAAGCAGGAGGCGGTAATTGGCAAACAATGTCATATCTTTCAACATCTTGGTACTTCAACGCTTACCTAGGAGCGAACCTACGTCAACATTCTAGGTTCTCGACGCCGGTGGCGTCCGGAGATCCCTCAGTGTGAATCATGGGTGATACAAGCTGAGGCCGAATCGCATAAGGTAACTCATGTTAAGAATCCTACGTAGTCTCGATGCTCCGTTTCTCTAGTGACATCCACTTCTCAAGCCCCAATCGCGATCGACGACTCTACTTGCACTGGTTCGATTGCTCTTCTGAAAACAGCGATGATTACGCTTTCATGCGCATCCCAACAGCTCAGGGTACACCCATCGCTTTCATTGTCTAAACATGACGAGTTACTAATCCAGCTATACGCTTCAAAGTCTAGTCTAGATGATTCTTCTGTTCTATGGGCTCTAACATGGCTTGAACGCCACGTATCTGCAGTATTTTTCCTACTCCTGCGGCGCAAAGCCACACTATACGATGATGCACACGACTAAACGTAGTGACTCAAAGTATGGCTTTGGCCCAAGCAGCGGAAGGTATCTCAAAAAAAAAAGACGAGGCTTTTTAGACAGCGAAGCTTTCATGATCGTAATGATTGGATGAAGAAAGGCGAAGTACAAGTCTTCTGTGGGGGTCTCAGCTGTTGATCAGATTGAGACATTCTGTGGCGGGGTTGAGACATAACGCTTTTTCCCGACCACCAACATCGAAATCTTGCAAGAAAGGCATGATACGATCACCATGAGCTGAGATTGAGTTCAACAGCCGCGGGATCAACCTGTTGGTTTCTTAGGGTCTGCTGATGTTTATAAAAGTACATCGGCTACAAATCTCTGGAATTGCATGCTCTATCATCGAGCTCGGTCGTAGCATGCGATCACTTTTCTGTGTGCCGTTTTCGATATTCGTCGTCTCACTCACTGCTAAAGCTTCATCCTCCTCTCTTCTCCCCAACAATTTAAGCTCCGCAGCAATACTGCCGCTTAACCAAACTTATGGACCATCTAGTAATGCAACGTCAAGCAATAGCAACAAAACACTCGGAGCTACCTTCAATCTCGAGCATGAGCCACGCATCCATCATATTCATGACCCTATTCCGCCATCGTTGAGATCTAGGCAAAGATTTCCAGTCGGTAATTTAGGTCATGCTATATTTTGCAACATCCTGACTGTGTGGCGTTCGCCCCACACAACAGAGCAGGCTTTCAGCGATCCCGATTTCAAGGAAATTGGCACCTGGTTTGCGCTGGAACCTTACGCTCGAGCAGCCGGGTGGGATATGACGTTACTTGGTTGGGCTTGTATTTGGTTTTTGCGAGGCTCTATTGACGGTGCCCAAGAAAAGGTTAGATACTGGATAATGCCAGACACAAAGCTACTAGACCTACGGGCGTTCGTACTCGCCGAATTTGAGATGCGTAACTTCGCAAGTCTAGAGGAAGAAAGCAGCAGCTCAGGGCCTGGGGACGGATTCGTCAGCAGTCTTCTCAACACAACAACAAGCGCCTTCACATCTCGCCATATTCATAGACAGGCAGCACGGAGGGGATTGCAGGAAAACCAGACTCTAAACTCGGAGGTTGAAGGGCTCATTATACAGTGCGACACGCAGTGGCTAGGTGACACACCCGTATACCCAGCATCATTAGTCGAACTCGTCTACGAATTCCTGCTACAATTGGTATTGCTCAATGAGCCCGAAGATAAAATCATCACCAAACTGTCACGAGGACAAAGATATGACATTGGACCCAACCGCTACGGAGCCAGGCTGATCGTAGTTTTTGATCTCGTTATAGTCGGGGATCTTGAGTTAGATTGGTGGGCCATTGCCACCTCCATGCTTATACTGTTGAAACAACCGATCGCGGCGAATCGATATAATGCGTTTGCGGGGAAAATGTTTGTGCAAGTGGAGGGTTCGAAGGGAAGACTTCCGTCGTATCTTAGCGCGTGGTTCCTTGGCCGTGAACAGCCCGATCCACCTGATGTTCCTCCACGATCTTGAGGAACTACCATTTCGCTTGCAGCCAGCTATGAAAAAAAGGCCTAATTAATGCCAAGGTCTCTGTGTGCATGGGTAATAAGAACTCTGGCATTGCACTCGCGATTGGTAATGCTCGAGTAAGCAAATCTGCCATTGCTTTTAGGGGGACAAAAGGGTGGATTCGATTCCTGCCGCACTGGGCCTGCCTGAACACCTCAGGCCACCCATCGGGCGTCCGAAGAGCTTTCAGGAGATAATATTATGAAGAAAGCCAAGTGGGGTGTAATCCAGGACCAAAATGTGGAAATAGTCCACGCTACGTCTATGCAAGACTTGTGAGATGTTCGGCACCTGCCGTCGATGTGGACACTCAATGGGTACGATTTAGTGCAAGCTAAGGTGTAATATAAGCAAACCAGAGAATTCAACACCAGAGTGATCAAGCTCAAAAGAGATAGCCTTTTATGTTAGCCACGGGACTTTGAGGCCGTATGACATCCTAGTCTTGTCCAAATACCTTTCCACGCATTCGAATTTGGAATCTATAAGCCAGCGAACTCATGAAAGCACTCCCTTGCAGCAGTAGTACCCTGACGCAAACTTAATCTGCAAACCATGAGGTATTTATTGGCTATTTCATGCCTAATTTGGATGGGCCTGCGGATGCCTCAAGAAAAGTCTCAGTCTGGAGTTGCTTCAAGAGCGGTTGTTATTCACAGCCATATCATCGCAATGAGATTATTTCGCGATCCCCAGTGAAGACCCGTGCTTTCACTCATCCCATGCATAATTCCCTCTATCATGACGAAAGTACTATCGGCTCATTTTCATTATAAAACGAGACGTCGTGCTCCTCAACATCCCAACCAATTCCTCCCACGATCTCGCCCCCGAACTTATAGCAACCTCCATCCCACACCTCCTCCTCTCTTCAGCCAAATCATCACTGTCATCACGATGTACAACCCCCCAACCCACAAACCCCTCGCGCTCCTCAGCCTCTTCCTCCTCTCCTCCACAGTAACAGCAGGGCCAATCCCAAGCGCCGCCGCTTCGACGCTCTTCTTGCACAACATCATAGCTTGAGCAGCCTCTCCCGAACCCCAACACCCCAATCCTGGCGCGACGAAGGTCAGCAAACGCGGAACCTCCCCATCCCTAGTCGACAAACGGCAATACACCGATTACCCATTTCCGTCTTACCATGCTCCACCTGCTGATGGTGGGGGGGCAGGCGCAGGGGCGGGCGCGGGAGAGGGCGCGGGCGTTGGGGCCGGTGGTGGTGCCGGCGCTGGGGTTAGTAGTGGTGGTATCAGCGTTCCTACAATAACAACTTGAGCTACTATCTGTCATTGGACGTCATTGCGATCAGAGGGATGGAAGGCCGTGTTGAGTCTAGGGAAAAGATATCGAGGGGTATTAGCTTACGGGCTCACTGCTACACTCTACGAAGGAGATCTCATTAGGCGAAAAGTATTGATTGGGATTGAGGGATTAGTGTGAACGTAGTGGCGACCTAGAGGGTGAGAACTTGGACATCTTTGATCGGTACAGCAGCGTTTGCGGTGTTCTGCAATCAAATTTTCACCGCAGTACGGCGTAGTTTCGATCAGCATTGCGTAATTGAATCGATTGATGAAGCTTTTCGAGGAGGCTAAAGCTGCCAATACGCTGACCAGAGAGTAAGTCCGTGCAACTCGATTCGACGGCCTGATCTTTGCCTAGACTCGCATTCTAAGTTACTCGATGTTGCTAGACTTGCGGTCAATAGCGACCGGCAAATGCTTGTAGTGTGTGGTCATGGTTGTGAGACAATTCTTGATACTTCATTGCCCGTTAGACATCCTCACATCTTTCGTAAGACCAAAGGCAGCACAGTCTCGTATCATCAGGTCGAGTGCGGGTCTTGTTCGTTGAGAAATGACCAAGGTGTATGTATCAGAGCTGGACTTCATGACTTCAGATCACGTAGAATTCTTCAGATGATTGTAATTCTATGTCTTCCTGCTCTTGACCATTTCTGAGTATCTATCGGATTCGAAGAGCTCTCTGTTGTCGCCAGTGGAAGCCTCAATACTGCATACTATTCTACACTAATGTTATTGAATGTGCCGATACGGATAAAGACATTGCGTGAGTTTCTGTTTCCTTTGATGTGACGAATTAGCAAGCCCTCGAAGCCACTCATATTGCTAGAGACGGTAATTGGTAGTAGATAGAGTGATCCTTCATCATAAGATTGCGGTTCTGCGTCGTCCCAGATAATTTCGAATTCAGACAGGGGTTGGTCAAACATATGAACACAAGGTTTGCCACTGTCATCGAGGCCGGAAATAGGGAGCAGCCCCCCTTCAAGCGTCAGAAATCCACCTTTCAAGACCCCATTGGGCTTTGTTGAAATCGCAGGCTCGACCTGTATCTCCACTACTTCTATCAGTGTATGGTAATCGAGGATTGACGCTTCTTGCCATGCAATTTTGCCGCTTATAGAGGCCCATGACCAGGAAGGCGCTATATAAGAGTCATACGGTGATCTGTTAACGCCACTAGCCGTCCAGCAAAGTTGGTAGGGAATAATGGAGCTCCAAAGTCCAGCAATGAAAGAATGACCAGTCAATTGTTGAAGCAGGTCTATTACCCCAGAAATAGCCACCAGCTTGTCTTTAGCAAATGTGAGATTGCAGGATGAGTATTGAGCTCTGATTCTCATCCACAACTCGAATGTGTCATCGGTAATTCTATTGTCCTCCATGTTGTTTGGTGTTGTATTGAAGTTGGATTGCCTATACAGATCTCTGGGAACTTCCTTTGGAAAGGACTCGCTTGCCATCAATTCCTGACATTCCCAGAAGACCTCACTAGACCCAAAATGAATCTTTCGAGGAGCCAATAGTCGTTCTTGCACAACCCAGGCACGCTTGTTCACAGGCTGATCCTCGACACCAGCAATCATCTTGTCTTCATTGAAGATCAAGACATCCGGCATTTCTTGTTCAGAGCCCTGTAGATGGACGCGTGGGAAGCGAAGAGCTGAGATAGAACGGTCATTGAAGCAGCCACCATCACTATCGCTGGCACCAGCAATGGAAATGTTACAGAAAGACCCAGTATAGACGCCACTCATTCTAGCAGATTGATTTGCCCAGTCCTCTTCTGAATCCTGGATGATGCACAAAGCATCGATCCACAAATATTTGATACCTAAGAACTTAGTTACGAGAACCGCATCTTGGAATGATTTAGGTAGTCGAGAGAATGGTTGCCATTGTTGCAGCTCAGAGAATAAATGCTCAACAAGCTTCAACGGAGTGATCTTGCCCCAGCAGTGACTGACCGTCATATAGTTGGATTGAAGGTCTACAGTCCCTGCTGCTGGTAGTCTCAAGCACCAGCTGTCGTCAAAATGATTTATCTCCAGGATACGTTGTGGAAATTTTCTCCCCTGTCGGTTGAACTTGCAAAGCTCATGTGTTCTATCGCAGTCTTTTATCCATCTTCGGCACAGACTCAGCGTCGCTTCTGTTCCAGTATTTCGATTTCTGATTGGTGGATAGTCAGCAAGAGTACGATCTAAATCACAATGATCAGCACGGGCTGTGAGTGCTTAGTGGGGGACGAATAAACCAACCGACATATTTTGAGGATATGAGGGAGAATCTAGAGGCTGTCACAGCCGCCTGAAAATATCCAGGATTTCCCTTCTCACTCAATCTTACATCTTTCTTGGCGTCAGCAATGTCAAAAGCAATTGACATAGCCATGCGAGGTAGCAATCCCTCATGCTGGGCCCCTTCTTCCACGTCTTCCTGCTTCAGATATCTGTACGGGCGATAGATCGTCATCCAGCGATTGTATTGATCTGATGAACCTTGAACACGCTGCAACTTCTCTCGAACAGCCGCACAGATGTAGCACCAGGCTTCTTCTGACCTGACAAGAGATGCTTTGTCCGGATGGTGCGGGAGCCACTGTCCATGTTTCTCCAGATTTGACATCCGCAGGCAAGTGTTCATGCATACCGTACAAACTCTTGGAGAAATGTCGTCTTCCTTTACATTCATATTCGTCATCGGAGCTGTCATTGTATTGACGCTCTGGATTTGAGCGGCAGATAAAGAACGAAAAGACGATTGCGACCGAAGCTCTGACGCCACGCAGTACACCGTGGTTCAAGGGGCAGCATAGAAAACAAACTACATACATTTGATACTTACCAGCATCCAATGGAAACGGAGTCTTATGTAAAACGATCACAGCATGTTCATGGCACAATGTAAACGGCCCTATACTTGGCGAAGACATTCTCCACATCAGGTGCCCGGCGCTCGGTGTTGGTGGAGCTAATGGGCGCTAGCGCCCGCACCTGAATAGTTTCTTCTCTTGAGAATAAGTTCTTCTTCCTTAGCAGACCTAGTAAATCACTTTCGTAACAGAAACACTCTGCAATAAGTATAAGGGCCTCTAGAGTCAGCACGATAGACATGAAGAACCCAAGGCAAAAACACGTCATTGCGAATGGACAAATACCGACAGCCTGGGCAACTTAAGAATGATATAGAGTAATCTCAATGGATGGTAGACAAGAGATACCATTTCTTCCAGGCGATGGATGTTGTCTTCTAATTAGTATTTACATACTAAAAATTCTGGAATCCCAGGTTCTGCCATCCTCTCAGAATATCACTCACTATCATCATCATCACCCATAGCTACATCTTGCACATCTTCTGACCCATCCTCGCTCTCTGTCGACGATTCCTCCATCTCTATCGCCTCATCCGCCGTATCCTCATCATGCTCATGAATGAACGGCCTCACAAGAAGCGGGGCTTTGAACGATCCATTAGCCCTAAAATAAATTAGACCTCCTGCATAGTCGAAGGTAGCTCCCTGTGGATGAAATAGATTGTTTCCCAGCAGCAAATCACATTGCTGCTTACTATCCACCGACACCCTGATCGGTACCGACAACGTGAGGGGTCCATCCTGGTCTTCGCCGTCGATGAAAATGCGGAAGTCCTGTCGACAAAAATGTTAGCGGCAAAAATTCTCATCAGTTGTTGGGGCTGTAGGGGCTTCAACTTACGGCGTACTTGTTGACAACATGGTTGCCTCCTTTTGTGGCATTCAACATGGCTATCGCATGCCTGTTCTTCCGGATCGATACCTCAGGCATCACCGAACGGAGGAAACTCCTCTTGATTGAGGTCGCTTCGTTGCCGCTGTCCACCGTCACCTCTCTTTCCTCGGCGTCTGGGTAATTTAATCGAACTTTCATGCTCAGGTCGATCATCTGAGCGTGAAGTGGGCAGCAAGTGCCCTCTGGCTCGTACTTCGTGGCCTCGATAATCCGTTTTTGGCAACTTGGGGGAGCTTCTGGAGTGTCACTGATTTCAGCGGAAGCTCCTTCTTGCGATACTAACGGTGTCGGCATCTCCTCCTCCATTCGCTGTGGTGTTGATGGAGGCAGCCTCTCATCCATCTGTTGGGGCGATGGTGGAGGTGGTATTTGCTCCTTCCATCGCGGCGGTGGTGTTGGCAGCATCCGTTGGACCTGCATTGGCGTGGGCGGTGGAGCCATTTCCCGATCCGCTGCTGATTGAGCATTTACTCCATGCGGAGCTTGATCAAGAGAATGGCTCGGGGAGTTCCGGTAAGACGTAGCCGACATTTCGCCTCTACGAGGTGTACCATATCCCACAGCGTAAGGATCCTCAAATTTTTGAATTTGAGGAGCATTCGTCGGCCTTGGCGACTGCGCGTGATACATTAGCCTATCATGGATATCGCCGTTCTGTAGATATGGTTGTCCGGCGCGGCTCTGGGGTCTCGACTGATAGGGTACGCCTACCTGTCTCGACATGGTGTGAGCCCGCTGTCGCGGTGTGGCAACACGCATCGGGGCTGGGTTTGCGTACCCAAAATTGATCGACAAGTCTCGATTATGGACAGGGTCTTGAAGGTACGGGGGGCTTGTTGTCTTACCGAGTTCTTCCGTACTCGGAAAGGAGCTGCCATCTGTACTGACTCCGCTCGTGACTGCCTGCAGTGACCTGATGGACCATTAGTTGGAGCCATTGCGTCGGAAGAGTTCTTCTATTGATCAAGAGGCGTTTTCTGTGGTGTTCAAAAACTTGAGGACTAAAAACTTACAGAGGTGAAGATGTCAAGCTGTATGAAGGCCGTTTGGCAATATATATATTTATAGACCTGAAACATTGATCTGATTTCCTCATCCAGGATGAACGACCGTCTTTGAACAACGGGCTCGCTTTCAAGTTCTTGGAAAGCAAATGACAATGGCATTGTCTCCCTCTGGAACTAATTGTTGCGACTGACAATAATGCATTGTTCATAGCAGATTTGTGGCTCGAGGCATAAGCGAATTAGGCTTAGTGTTCGAGCTAATAGTCAAGGCTGTTACCATTCAAATCATCGCCGTCTGTGATTCTTGCCGGGTCCGCTTGTCGAAGACATGTCCGATTCGAGGCCGTTAATGACACATATTTCAAGGCATTTGAAGATCCATGCCAAGGATAGGAAGGAGAATATGGCATGATGCTCTTCCATTATCTCACTGGATGGATGATCAGCGAATGTCATGGTACCTGGCATATATCGCTGATCCGTAGTTCGCTTTGACCAAAAAGCGCAGCCCCTTGAAACATAAGCGTCTGTTGCATGATGTGCTTCAATATCATCACAGCTGGAGGCCACTGAGTGGGTGGTGGGAAGGCTCTCATTCTTCGGGTGATGTTGAAGAAGAGGAACAAGTCTACTTAGACAAAGAGAATATATTGAGGTGTAGGCTACGTCATCACGAAAATGAAGGTGGAGCAAATTGCAAGCATCCGACATTATTCTTTGTTCCTGGATCATTTTGCACCTCCTACAGAGGTATGATGAAGAGAGATCTCTCATTAGATTATGCCGTCAAGTATACGAAAAGCTGAATTTATCGTCGATTACAGAGACTTCACAGATTGACATATGACATTGGTTCGCTTGTGATATTCTTGGTTTGCCAGCAAAAGGCGAGCAGCACGGTCCCGTTCCGAGCGAAATATCCTTCGATCATCAGAGTCCGACGAATTGTCCAATGGACGCCTATGCACTATATTTACTTAGCACATGGGGTAGAGAGCGGCAAGTCAATGAAATGGATGTAGCTTTTTCAATCTTGCATTTCCTAGATAGGCTTGCGCCAGCAAGATTCTATATCATACATGACCACCAAGCTCCAGAATTTCCACGCCTGTTAAAGCTTCATTCACCCTTTTCCGCGTTCATGTGTGCATCTGCCATCCCTAGCTAATGATGCTAACGCTCAAGCTTCAATGGCGGCTTAATGACCAACGGACATTCAAAGTACCCATTCGCTCTCAGGTACATATTGCCGCCCAGCAAATCAAGATGCGCCCCCTGAGGGACCATAAAGTTATTACCCAGCAGCAGATCAAATTGGGCCTTTGAGTCCACCAATACTCGAAGCGTCGTCCTCAGTGTGACAGCTCCATTCATATCCGTACCGTCAATGAAGATCGGGATATCCGCATACTCTGTCACTAGATGGTTTCCTTCCTTTGTAGCATTTGCCAATTCGATCGCGTGGGGTGTTAATTTGCGAATCGATATATTGGGTAATACTGCGCTTAGGAAGGCTCTCTGGATGGTCGAGGCCTCACAGCCAGTGTCCAAGGTGACTTCTCTTGGCTCAGAGTAGCATGATCCAAAGCGTATGTTCATTGAAAGAGAGACCATCTGGTCGTGCCCTGGACAACATTCTCCTTTAGGCAGGTATGGTTTTGCTTCCATTAGGCGTGGTGGCCCTTGGATGCGTGTATCTGATTCTTGGGAGAATCGCATCACAGCGCCTCTTTGTGGTGTCGGTGGCGGCGGCATCTGTTCAGAAGATGAACGCCTGGCTGCTGTGGATGGTAGAGGAATCCGGTTCTGTGCCGCAAACTTGACCACGTTCCTGTATGGCAAGGATGTCTGAAAAGGGAATGATTGTTGCGGGTCAATTGAAGGCGAATCCACAGCAGAAAGAACAGAATCCTGTGTCTTTGCGTGTGGATCCTCGAATCTTGTCACCCTAGGAGCACCAGGTTGCGATGGCGCTTGAGCAGAATCGACTGCTTGTGGCTTACTGGGGTCATTGACCCCCAGCTGCCCGGCGCTATTTCGTTGCGTCGACATGACCGAAATGGTGCGAGCCCGCTTTCGACTCTTGGGGGCAGAAACTCCAGAGCCTGCATTCGTAACATCGCCCTCTTTGCTCACCGACTCCTTCCTTGCTCTCTTGGCAGCCGGTATCCGCTGCTTCCTCAGATCAATAGGAAACGGTTGTGGAGAGTAGTCCACTTTCTTCACTGACGCTCTCGGCGTTCGACCGCTCGTGGCCATTGGGATTATTGACGAGGCCGGTCGTAGAGGCTTAGTAACGTTAGCAGTTGGTGTCTTAGAGGATTCCATTGCCTTTAACGTTCTTTATCGTCAATTTGCGTTGTAGTTTCTTGATTTGTGGCTGAAAGAGCTGGATTTGAATGCTTGTCAGGATGGAGAAGTTAAGAATACTGGACTTGATGGGTGGTTTGGTTGTATTTATATATTTACTAATTTGGAATATGGGTCGAATTTCTCAATCATGAAGGGCAGCTAATTGACAATGGCCTTGTCCGTTCATCATTCCTTAGGGGCTAACTTGTGACACTGTCATACTCTTAGAACAATAGCTTTGATCAACTACTCATTGTTGTCGACATTGCTGTGTCTTGGTTCATTGTCTATTGGGTGTCAGCATGTGAGCAAATGCTTGAAGATGAGAGTGATCTGAGCCTACCGTACTCAGTATTCACCACCACTACCACCTCCCTGAGCTTCTCTCATCTAGGCGATGAGCTTCCAATCGACGAAAGAGTTATGTCCTCCGCGAATGAGCCATCATATTGAACAGATGAGATTCGGAATAATTGTATTATCTGTCACTTAAATTTGGACAGAAAGTTCGAGATAGTCTTAACTTTTACCATTTCTCATTGCGAAAGTGTTGTCGACGCCATAGACAGAAAAGAATTCAAAAGTTGGTAGCATCGTGCGCGAAGATCTCAAGACGCGGATTATGAGAACGAATTAAGCTCATCTCTCTAGACATATAAAAACAATATGGTAGCTCAAGAGGAGATGAGAAGTCCCCATGTGGATTTGGGGAGAACAAAAGGTTTTAGTCATTGCAAAATGAAGAAAAAGAAATGATGTGCAGGCCACGTAGCCATAGAAAGAAGCGCGCTCAGCTGTATGCATGTTCCCGATGCTCTTTGTTCCTCCCTTCTTTACGGCTGCCATTCCCCCCCAATTCGGAGACCTCTGTCAAAGCAAATTTCGACTGTCTATCGAATGGTTGACTTCAAGCATGCGATAAAATTCAGATGATGTCGTCGAGGATCAATGATGAGTCTTTTACTGCCGTTGCAACTCATATTCGGCGCTTGACAGCATATCACTTTACAGTAATTCAACAGCCCACATTCCGTTCGTTAGCTTACCATCACATTATTTGTTTTCGCAGGAGCTAAGCAGCAGGGTTCCGCTTCCGCTCCACACATACGACCATGTCGCGCCTAAAAGCACGATAATGAGCACCAACAAATGAAGTTAGCGCCTCTTTTTCAGGGTACTATTTGCGTAATTATTCTACGAAGACTGAAGACTTCACCTACAACGCCTGCCATAATCCCATAGTATCGCGTCAACGTCTCCTCATCGAGGTAGCTGCATACACCTCCCAGGATCAGCCTGTTTCGTATCCGTAGGCATCCATTCATCTGCATACTACCGTACATTCTATTCGCTTGCCTTCTCGCCACTCCCAACACTACTGCCTGACTCTACCATTCTCACCCACAGGCAGTTCATTCACCGGTTTATTCCCCACTCCTCCGGCGCCGCAACTCCCTCATACCCTTCTCCTCACAATGAGCTCCCACTCCGGCTCCTGCTTAGGCACCCAATCCTCGAGAGCCACAAACTCGTCACGATTGCCCGCACAAATGCTATTCGAATGCGTGGGCCACCCTTCGGCTGCATAAATATTCTGATTATTGGTATACTGATCCATATTCATCTGACCAAGCCAGCCCCTATCATTCAAATATCCCGGCACATTGAATCAAATATCCTTATAATCCACAGTAAAAAGTTTTTCCCGCCCGAAGAAGCATTTCTGGAAAGAGCAGACGATTTCGTCGTCCCCTTCGTCCGCGAAGCCGTTCTTGTTCTTCTTGGGACGAGCCCCCTACCTTCGACTTGAACCACTTTCACGGTGTCGATGTTGAAGTCGGAGGGTGAGACGCAGTGGAAAAGGTCGGATGAGTCAGTGCTGCAGCTGTCAGTGACTTTGATGAAGAGCTCAGCTTCTTTATTCGGGTGCCACAGCGCCACGCAGATGTCAAGTCTACAGAGCCGGGCCAGACTAGGTAGAATGAGGGAATAGGAGTTGATATCGCCCTTAGCGAGGTAGCAAACATTGTCTAGAACTCTGTAGGCGCTTTGCTTGGTTTTGTCGTTGTAGCTAGCGTAGTGATAGTCGTCAGTGATGTTGTCGGGGGTGTTGAGCTCGCCTTGTTTGTGGCCTTTCATGTTGCTTGTATTTCATGATGCTGTGGAGTAGAGGGCTGAATAGCAAACTAAGACCTCATGATCTAAGAAATGCTTGCCTCCTTTTGTTCCGTGATTACTCGATACACCACCTATGGCAATAACACAAACTTGCAAATGTCTCACCCCCCAACACCAAACAGCGCGGTACGCATGCGCTATTTCCTGGAACAAACCCAACATGTCTGGCTACTGTATTGATTTCTTCAAATTGAACGTCATGGTCATCTTACAGATATCAAGAACGGCTTCATATGTGTCCCTACGCAACAGTACAGAACTTGGTCGATAACCCAGAAATGAAAATCTATCCTGCCTCTCTAGGAGTCGCTTGCGCCCTTCTCACCCTCAAGGCAATAAGCCTGCCTCAAACAAACACCACCGCTACCTCATCTATTGTCTCTCCCCCTCTAAACGACACACCCCACTCCACCACACCCCTCCACATCCACCCCCGCATTCTCACCTGCCACGTCGCCCCAAAATTCCCCGTCATCGATCTCGACGACTACACCACCACCGTAGAACAAATCCTAGAAACACCAGACTCTCACGACAAAGTCTCCCGACCATTCAGCTACGAGCGCTCCTTCGCCACCCCTGGATGCGTCATCAAGGTCCAAGCCGCTGCAGAGTATGAACTCGCTGTGGGAGATCGTTTCTCGTTCTATGATATCGGCGACCGCAGTGTGGTGCTGTTTGAAGAATGTTTGAAGATGAAGGAGTTGGAAGGAAGGTTCAGGGGGGGCTTTGTTACGGTGGGAGAGCGGGAGAGGTTTTTGATTGAGGCGACTACGGGGGCGGAGGTATGATAGGGGGGACGGGGTGGTGAGGTGAATGGTCGTGTTTTGCTCGCATATATATACAACAAGCCAGTAAGAACCCACATCAAAGGATCGGCTAGTCAATACCTCATACCATACAACAGACACAATCATTCAGCGACTCGAAAAGCATCTACAGCTCCCGTCTCCACAATCGGCCCAGTAAACGTCTTCCTCGCCCTGCCCAAATAATAAAGCACCGCAAAAATCCCCACACTACCGGTCATCAAAACACTCCAATTCATCGTCGCAGCATCAACAGGCGTCGCAACAGGCCAGAAGCTAAAAAAGAAAATAATGAGACCAAACATGACCGCGAAGGCGTTGACAACAATCCCAATTCCATCCGGCAGGTGAAACGGGCCCCACACCAACTGATGTCCCTCCACGGCATCTCGTGTGGCCTTGATACCGCCCGTGCAGCGACGATAGAGCATCAACGTCTCAACGATGATGTAAGAAGCGAAGAGACTGCTCACACTGAGCGAGATAACGGCATTAAACGCCTTCGCCGACCCCAAATTGATAAGTCCAATCAAGCACGTAACAATCGACGTGATAACCACCGCTAACATCGGAATCCTCTGGGCACTCAATTTCGACACCGTGCCCGACCCCGGTAATCCCCTGTCGCGGGCAAACGCCCAGATGAGTCGTGAGCCCGTGGCCATGGCGGCGATGGTGCCTGCGCCGGACATGATAATGACGAGGGCGATCATGGTGGAGGCGCCAGCGCGGCTGCGGGTTGCGGTGGAGAAAATGTCCATGAAGGGGTAGCCGAGGATGCCGGTGGGGCTTTGCAGGGCGGCGTCCACGTCGCGGGTTACGAAGAGGACGGCGATTATCATTGCGAAGCCGAGGGCGCCGTTGAAGAGGGTTGTGGCTAGCATGGCGCGGGGGACGACGAGGGCGGCGTTGTTGACTTCTTCTGCCATCTGGATAGATGGGTTTTGTTAGGGTTTGGGGGGTTGGGTGTGCAGGAGGGCGGGGCTGGACTTACGTGTACGGTGGCATCGCATCCTGAAGGTTGTGTGTGGTCAGTTCAGTGCTTCAGCAGCAGGATGTGGATCACGAACCAAACATTGCGAATACGCTTCCCACCAGACCCACGAAGAACGATAATCCCTGAGTCGGCCAATTGCCTCCGTTAAGGAAGTCTGTGAACACATCATGTGTCGGCGCTGTAGCTGGTGCGCACTGATCTCTGTCAGTATTCTCCACCAGATGCACGATCGCCAGCACTCACAGCGACCAGGGGAATCAGCACAGCCAAGAACCCCACGACATGTAGCACCAACATCGCCAGCTCAATCTTCGGCAGCGCCCAGCCCACGACCGTATTGATAAACACCGCATACGCAACCGTGGCCCAGAACAACAACGTCCCATGCCACAACTGCGGCACATAACTCGGATGATTCAACTGAATGAGCGTCACCATCATCGTGCCACTCAAATACCCACTGCCCGCCAAAATCGCCTCCCAGCCAGCAATGACCAGCCAACCCGTCACATAACTCAGAAACTTCCTACAAGGTGCCGGGGCGAGCATGGCGACCCAATGATACTGCCCCCCGCGGTGGGCGCAATCGACGCCATTTCCGCCATGGTGGTGAAGACGCAGAGGACGCCGAGCCAGACGAAGAGGTAGCCGTAGACGAGGCCTGCGGAGCCGCCGTTTGTGAGACCCGTGGTGAAGAGGATGAGAGAGCCTTCCCAGGTGACGAGCATGGTGCAGGTGAAGCCGATCATAGCGAGGAAGCCGAAGCGGCGGCGGAGGACGGGCTTTTTGCCTAGGCGGACCAGGAGTTCGTCGTCGGTGGAATTGAGGCCGTCGTCGTTGTGAGCGTGGATGGAGACTTCGTAGGCGGGTTTCTCTTCGAGTGCGAAGGCGTGGGCTGGGATCGAGGGCGCCATGTCGTGATGTTGAGGTTGGCTAGGAGTGTTGGACAGTGCTTCCTCGCTCGACGAGGACTGGCAATTTAGAAGTCTTCACCACTTCATTTAGAGGCAGACGACAAAGTTCAAATATCAAAAAGCCGTGGCTTTCATGCAGCAAGCGAAGGATGCACTTGCTTAGCGTCATGCCCGATTGAGGTTTCGTACCTGCCTGTTGCGGCCAAGCTTCACGCAATGCATGTCGCACTGCAGCTTGCGTATTGGGTCGCTTGCAGATCAAGCTCATGTAATCAAGCGGTGAAGAGAGGAGCTTCTTTCGCGGCCGAAGCGAGTCTTCGATATCTGCTGCAAGATTTAAGAGTCTTTATCGAAAACGCAATCCTCGCAGGAGAGTATTCTCGCCGCCCCTGCATAGCAGACTCGGTACACGAGGCCTCATAGCATGTCTCCGATCTCAAGTCCCAACCACTCTATCGTCACATCACTCGAAGGCTTCGCTCCCCCACCCTCATTGTCGCCGCTATAAGCAACCTCAACGATGAATCTGTCGTGAGAGCCCAGGCTAACGAATCCGCCACGAAACACCTCTCCCGACGTGACCTGACACTGTTCAATTAGCAGATCGACACGATCGACAATGTCGAGGAAAGCAAAAACGTCTGTGGTGACGACCGACTTGCGATAGGCCCAAGCATACTTGACTGTACAACCAGGCGCGCTCCACGTGTCTGACTGAGAAGATGATTGGGTCTGTCTCCGAAGCGCTCCTGACATAGTGGAGATTTCAAGCAGGGGGGCATTGCAGTCGCGGGGTGTAATGGCCGGGAACTTGGGCGTGCGATGGCAGGTGAGGATTCGAGGAGGCCCCAATGGATTGGTGCTGGGGGTGGTACTGTTCGTGATGTCGCGTGGAAGACTGGTCACATCGCTCTTATTGCTGGATAGACCATCTGTGATATTGCCTTGTGCCTTGTCGGCCGGCATGTCGTATGATATGTCAATGATGAACCTGTCCAGAGCTCCCAAAGCGACAAATCCGCCGCGAAAGGGCAGCGCCTGGATTCCCGAACATTGATGAATTAGCATCTCGGCACGATCGACGACATCGTCATAGGAGAAGGTGTCCCCCCCAGATCTGGTGGACAGGAACCTGATATAGCATCCATGGAATCCCCATATTTTCTTTTCGTTCCACTGGTGATGAAGCCTAGTGGAGGCGGACGGCATTTGTGAGATTTGGCGCAGAGTGGTTGCAGTCTTTGGCCTTGATGACTCCAAATTTGGATCCTCGGTGGCAGGTGAGATAGTTGGGAGGCTTTGTGTAGTTGGTCGTTGGCAATGTCACGTTAGTGCCGGTAAGTGGAAGCTCAGTGATGCTCTCTTGCGGTACGGATAATGCTAAGATGGTGAGAGCGCTGCAGAGTGCCCCACGGAAGACTGGTAGTATCATCATTCGTTACGGAATGGATGGCACCACTTGTAGAGAATCTCTCTGTAGTTATGATAAAAGCGTGGGCAGTGCTACTGAAGCGTCAGTGGTTGAAGTTTAGTCTACGTTGGTTTTTGTTTCAGGCACCAACTACATCAGGTTGCGTCAACCATTGACGCCTATGCAGTGGAATACTATGAAGAATTGAGAACAAGGGATCAGACTTCTGTAAAGGAAAGACAGGGCAGTGTTAGCCATTAATGAGTAGCAGAAAGACGGGTGTGCTGGTCGTGATGCGCCAATGGCGAGCGTCTTTTGCAAGGTAATGGAAGCGTTGGTGAAGTATTGAGGAAGAACCATTGAGATTGAGTAGACGTGATCCTTCGCTAACGATGGCAAGCTTTCCGAGGTATCGCTGCACTTTGGGCTTGTGAAGGTTGACACGATGTGAGTCCTGTCCACCACTCTCCTTTCTGGTGAATAGGCAACAAAGGCGTCCATGCAAATCGCAGCTCTTGACTCAAGATAACTGGTGGAAGCATCAGCGTGGTCATACAGCTCTTTGCTTCGCTCTTGGGCAGTGATATCGGATGAGGTAGGTTAAGAGAAGCAGGAAAGATGGCCTTATTGGAGTTTAGGCCTTTCGGATTCTCGTTCATGGAGGCCGAGAGCCGGGCAGCGAGTGCGGAATACTTCGCCTCGCCTCCGACCTGGCAAACTCTCCTCCCCCTTCTCCCTTCCCACGCTCCACTTACTTCCCTTCCAGCCCCCCAATCCACTCATCCGCCAGCCCAGCAATGACATCCGAGTTCTTCTCCAACATCATGAAGTGGCCATTCCCCCTAATCCCTCGATCCTCAAGCCTCACAAACTCGACCTCCACGCCCGCCTGCCTCAAATACGCGACCAAGCACTGATCATACAAAGCATGAATACTCGCTTCCGTGGTAAGAAACAGTACCGGTGCTTTCGCCACATTCGGTAACGTATGCACCGTCTTTGTCACATCCTGCTGAATGCACGGATACTTGCTAATCCTGCCCTCCGTCTCCTCCAATGTCCCAACCACCTGTCGCTTCAGATCGTCGGGAGATTTTATTGGGGGAGAGTAATTGAGCGGGATTAAGGAGATGCCGTACGGCCGGGTGGGGAGCCCTTCGCGCGCGCCAAATGTCCCGTTGTCGAAGTTAGTAAAGGGCGTCTGGTCTGCTTCGAGCGCTACGTGGCCGGCGACGAGATCCGGGCAGGCGTCGGTGGCGAGGAAGGCGACGGAACCACCAGCGGAGTGAGTGATGAGGATTGAGGGGTGGCCGATTGTGCGGAGGAGGGCGCAGGTGGCGGATTGGGAGTATGTTTGTTGGATTGTGGAGATGGTTAGGGGAAGGAGGGTTGCGTAGAAGGCGTCGAAGCTGGAGGGGAGGTTTTAGTGATGACGTTTGGCTAGGTTTGAGAGGAAGGGGAAACGGCTTGGGAAGGGCTGACGAACATGGGATCGCCTTTGCTGCCGTTGCCTGGCCATTGCGTGTGGAAACGTGCCTGGTAATAATAGGGGAACTTCTCGGGGGCTGAGAATGCGCGCTCGGAAGATTCGGTCGTTGCTGAGGTGCGGAGGGGTGAGAGAGCGCTATCGGCGCTGCGGCCGACGCTCCAGATGTCGACGATATAGACTTCGTAGCCTTTCTTGAGGAAGTATGACGCCCAGCCTTGGCCGCCGTCAGGCTTGTTGAGCCATTGCTAGGGAAGAGCACGCGTTAGGTGAGACAATCGAGGGCATTGCTGACGCGTAGCTTACCACTCCTGTGTCGCCGCCTCCGTGAAAGAAAACGATGGGGTGTTTTTGCTTCACTCCGCAGCTGGGCGTGAGTTTCTCGACATACTGTTTGCCGACACTTATGGTCCCGCCAATTGTCTCGTTGTAGACATATGAGCCTCCATTGTAGAAGAACGTTCGCTGAGCAAGAGCTTCTTGGTTCGCTCCTTCTCCAATTAAGCTGTCCAGCGCCGGCGCGTCATTCCGGTCTTGTAGGAGCGTGTTATCTGTTGGCGTCGCGTAACAACACACGCAGGCAAGAAGAAGGACCACAGCAAGAAGTCTTGAGATTGCCGCCATCTTCGGATGAAGTTCAGTGAGAAAGAAGAGGGCGCCCCGCATGTGTTTATGAAAGCTGAACAGCTTGTCGAGCTTGGTTTGCATCATCATGCATGACAAGCGTCGAAACGACACGGCAGGAAATGACCCTTGGTGTTAGTACAGCACACTAAGCCTGTTAGCTTTGGCATCGCATGGAAACAAATGACGTGATAGGTCAATGGCCATCGGAGGTAATTAAGCTGCCTTTCGTGTCAAAAGCTCGACATGCAAGGCAGACTCGCCGCTGGGCTCTTGGCAAGGCCTCTGATAAAGTTACGCTGGGGACGTACCGAGGATGGTAGAGCGAAAGAGGTAAACTGTAGCCTCGACTTATCCTATGAAGGGGGAGTACCTGTAGCCTGGGGAGCAACCATTTGCGCGACTGTGCGAGCCGTCTGTATCACGATCCAGGAACGTAGAGTCCCATCACCGCACCGACTGTGCACTTACGCACTTACTAGACAATCGGATTGTAGAAGTTGAATCGTCCTTTCGGATCCCACTTCTTCTTCAATTCCCTCAATCTTTGCAAGCGCCACGGTTCGTAGCCATATACACTCTGCAAGCTTTCATCGCCATACGCATAGTTCGTGTACGCACTGAACTGCCTTCCATTCTCGCCTTCAATCCAGTACTGCCTTGCTTGTTTTGCGTACTTGATGGCGGCGGCGTCATTGTCGGGTGATGGGGCGTAGGAGAGGCTGAAGGACCTGTTTGCCACATCAGCCTGTATACACGCCGACCTACAGGGGAAAAAGTTGAGGACGCATTGATTGGTAGGGTGACTTACACTAAGATATTATCATCGCGGTGGGCATAGGCTGAGCCCGCGGGATCGATCGCTTTCGACCCCTCCAGGGCATACGCCTCGAGTTGAACAACACTCCCATTCAGCGCTGGATGCTTCGTGAGCATGTCGGAATAGAGGTTGTAGACTTTGCGATTGGCTTCGACATTGTACTCCTTGAGACCGACAGGGACGAGAAACTTGGTTGTTCCAGGCGCACATACAGGATCGCCGACGCCGGTCATTTGGGCCTCATGCGCGAGGTCTTTGTAGAGTGTTGTGGCGTTGGATACGACGACGGGATGGAGATTGAGGAAGGGTTGGACGTAGGGGAGAGCCTGGGCAGCGGTGCCAAAATAGAAGAACTGGAACATAATGACGGGCTGCATGAATTTAGTGGTCAATTCCCAACTGGTTACTGCCGGAGTGATTTTGTACCTTAGCACTGACTTCTGGATTGAGGAGATACAGCGCAAATGTATTGGCGTCCTTAGGAAGAGTACCATTGTTGAGAAGCTTATTGACCTGATTGAAGAATGCTTCCAGCTGATCTCCCGTGAAGATGTATGTCACGTAGTATGTATTCTGCCCATTTGGGTAGTCGAAGATCCTTTGCTTGAAGCTCGTAACAATGCCGTAGTTATGGCCTGCACCGCGCATGCCCCAGAAGAGGTCTGCATTGGACGATTGGGACACCGTGACCTCAGAGCCATCTGCGGTTGTGACGTTCAGTTCTACAAAGTTGTCGCTTATCAAACCGGCGTAGCCCATGTACCTGCAAATCATCAATCACGCAGTATTTGAGTGGAATCTTTCAAGGTCGCCCACTTTCCAAAGCCTCCTCCCAAACCAGGCCCAACAATGCCGACACATCCGCAGGAACCAGTCGCTATGAGCGATCTTAGTATACTGATCTCTATAAACGAAAACTCCCTCTTACCAGCGACCTTGTTCGTCTCTGCCAGCTTCGCATGCAGCTGATCAGAATAGACGCCTCCGCCTAAAGTTGCGGTCTGGCCATCAGCGGCGACATTTATGCCGTCCAAGTTGTCTAGACGAATGAGGATGCCATGCTTTATAGTGCCAAGCGCTGATGGTGTTCCATGACCGCGGTTGATTGCTAGGAATGGCAGGCTCACGACATTCGCAAATTTGACCTGAGAAGATTGGCTTTAGATGAAGATGAAAGGTATTTGGTGACACTCACCACAGTCGAAACATCCTTTGCGCAGGCCGGAACAACGACGACCAGGATGTCACCTTCTGCGGCGATGCTCCATCTGGTGGTGAATTTGCCAAATTCTGGACTGCTGGGGAAATAGATGGATGCGCCTTTGCAGAGTTTGGAGCCTAAGTTGGCTTGTATGTTGGCTGGACTTGGTGTGGCCTCGCGAATAGTCAGCTCAAATGGAGCTGGTGTTGCAACCACCGTTTGCAGCAGAGTTATAAAAGCGGTTACTAGAGCAGAAAAGCAAAACATCTCTCTTGTAATCTGAAGATTGAAGGCTTATGTGTAGCAAAGGCCGGTACCTTTTATCGTTCGAAAAGGTTCCGTGGGCTAAACGAATGCGATAATGCCTGCAGCCTCATCCATGTTTATGATTCTCACTCGTTCAGGTGATGTCCAGAAGCCATTCGTCACGGGACGATCTTATGTCCATAGTCTTTCGAGGAAGCCGAGCACGAGCGACTGTCGGATGGCGGGTGCGGAGACGCAGAGACCTTTCCAAGACATGGAATATAGTCATTGCGTCGGCTCTCACGGATAGCTTGCATCTCGCACACGCTCGGAGTGGAACTCACACTTGCATAGACCTGACTAGAGCGGAGCACGTTGGCTTCCGGTAGTCCAATCTTAAGCTCGTACGATTGACAATGCATCATATCTGGAACAAGTGCAGTATTCAACGGTCTTTCCGAGGTATCTCATGGTTTCTTGGGAACGGGCTGGAAATATTTTCCAAGGTCTGACGGCTGATCATCTCGTCAAACGCTTCACGCTTCTCCGAGGCAACCAAAGATTCCAAGTGAGTAGTGTCGACTGCTCCTTGATTGCCACGACGACTCGCCCCGGCTGACCGAGCTGTAATAAGCAAGATAGATGACTGGTGGAGTGAACGAAAACGAAAATACAAGGGCTTCTGCAGTTCTCATCACGCAATATTATTTTCTGGGCTGGACATCTTAGCGTCTTGGCGTCTTGGCACCAAAAACATTCCGACGAAATGTTTGCGCAATACTACAAGACTCCAACAAGAGATCAGAAACCTCCCGAGTTCGTGCCCTGAACTTGCAGCTTCTGAAACAACAGGATAAAGTTCATCTCACAGCATGAATGCTCGCTTGGTCCTCCGAGCAGTATTGCCCTCGACCCCACCCTCCTTTGATCCACCTCTGCACGATTCTGCCTCTCCATCACGGCGTACATGCCTAAGGCTCTTGTCAACGGTCATAAACAGTTTACCATGGGTCCAATCCCACTTCTGCAAGAGACTATACTGCGAAAACACGGAGAGACCCCCTACCCCACTTCCCATGACTGGTCCAAGTCACGCCACCCCCCCCTCTCTCGGCTACCACAACGAGCATAGTCCTACACCAGCCCATCACACCCCGACGCTCTTAGAACGAACGCCCAAAAAGCTACTGTAGCAGAGGACAAAAGCAAGGGATACACCCAAAGCGCTCAGGCTTTTGGTTGCGCTATGCTGAATATTGAGACTATGCCTGCGGTACAATCATGTTTTTGTCAATGATCCGCGATGAGAGCACATCATAAGCCAAGGTCATAGCACTCTCAAAGCGCGCCCCTCATACCAGCACCTTCGTAAGATGAGTCGTGGCTTTGCTTCCTCCCGTTGATCTAGAAGTTGCTAGAGCAAGCGGGTTCGTGCTACCCTACTCAAGAGACGTGGTGGGTTGGCATGACATGACATTCCTCGAGTCATGTGAATGTTCAGTGGAGTTGCGAGGAAGAGTACGTGATCTAGATCTCTACCCCATAAGGGGAAATAGATCGTGAAGGTCACGCGAGGGTGGGGTCTTGAGTTATCGATATGTGCAGAGCTGAGATGAGGCAAGATGCATGGGTCGAGCTATGCCGTGGGATGCTACGCTCGCGTTAGGTCCCGGGTCGGTTGGGTGGTGAGTAAGCGCACATGGAGGTATTAGAGAGGCAGATAGGTAGTACTACAGGATAGGATCTGTGTGGATGTCGGGCTAAGAGAGGTACCTGAGATTTCAATATTACATGAGATGGATGCTCTTTGTTTACCTTTGTCAATTTCCCCGCGAAGATTGCAATTAAATGTCGGTTTCTCTCGGTGCGACTGGTCTTGAGTCGTGTCGCAAAGCACATGTTACCACCGATAGATAAAAGCCAGCGCCTCCACCCACGCCAATCTCCCTGATCTCGCTCTAATGCAGTCATCATTCCATCTCTCAACGTCTAGCATCTCCCAACCCACTCAACCCTCCAGACGGCTTCAAAACTTCCCCTCCAAAATCCTCACCACACCCTCAAACATCTCTCCCCCCTTCCACCCCCGTCGCAGCTCTCGCAACGCCACCAACCTGATCCCTCCCAACACCATACTCCCCCAACCTAGTCTCCACTCTCAAATCCCTCACAAACCCCTCAATCCCATCCGCCACCAGCAGCGCATCCTTCCTATCATCCCCACTCCTCTCAAGCCCCAGACCCAGATACGACACCACCCTCGCTAAACACGCCGCACTCCCCCCCCCCCCCCCTCCCCCTCCTCCTCCGCCTTCAACCTCACCACCCCCGTCAAAGTCACACACGACGTAATCCCATACGGCTTGCCGAGCGCATTGTCCCATCTTATGACTCAGCCCCAGACCGCCTCCCCCCCCTCCAAACTCGTGCCGATACCATACAAGGACGCAAACGCCGCTGATTGCAACCAATTTCGCGATAACACGCTCGTCGCTGCCGAGATTCTCCTTGTACGTTGGTAGATTCTCGAAACAGGGAGTGCAGGGGTGGTGAGGGCGAGCGGTTTGGCGGGCACTTCTGGGGTGGATGGGATGGTATTGCGTGGTCCGAGGGCGCGGATGCCGGTAGAGAGCCATGATCGCGGGGAGGTGTTGTGAGCGCGAAGAAGGAGGACCTGGGGGGCTAATTCTGAGTCTGTGATGAGGGTTCTTTTTGCCCTGCGGGTTGGTGAAGCCGGCGTCGCCAGTGCATTCGACTGCGGAGAGCGTTGTGCGGATTGTGACGGTGGAGGAACTTGCTGGAGTTCTGGTGATGGTGGTGGGAAACTGCTTTGACGGCGTCGATTAGGGAGCTGCCGCTTATGCTGATGATGGTGTCGATGGGAGGGTCCTTGGAGAGGATGGTGGCGGCTTCGTCGAGCTGAGAGATTGGGGCATGCTGACTTATACTGGTGTATGTGTCTCCGTGATTGGCTGAGCCAAGGAGGCTCTCCATACTCAGAATAAAGGTTGGTCTTCTTGGCCGGGGAGGGGCCGGTTATCATGAATGTTTTTTAGTGTGGGGAGGGAAGACGGGCGAGGAGATTCTCCTCCACGGATTTGGTGCCGTAGTGAAGACGCTGAAGGTGCGTTGGCTGCCATAAGCCTGATAGCATATCTGCTCCTGCCATTCTGAAGCAGATTTCGGTGGTTTCTCAATTTTTAAGGGTAAAGTAGAAGGGGTTCTGGCGACTAGATTGGACATGACGTGGATGCAAATACACCCCATAGAATGCCGAGGCGTAACAATTTGGAGTACCTAGACTCCGACAGGGCTCAGTCGACAGGAGATCAATACCTAAGATCCCACCACGGATGACCGTGCCCAAGATTTTTTTTATAGTGCGGAGTTCGCTCCGAGCACTTCAGCGACGCAATGCCTGGGCAGACTCGAGCATGGTCTTGAAACTCTTGCCTGGAAAAGGCCGTCAATGGGACTTCCGCACATACTTGATAGCCCATATCCTGATCCTCAAAATTCACATGACGATGCCACCGATCTTCACAGCCGCGGCACCAAATGCCGTGCTCGATTCGGTCCGGTACATTGATAGGATGCAGGTACGGAATAGCAACAGCCCCATAATAGAAGTACTCATTGTCCGGACTAATCGCTCCTCTGAACAATTTATCTGACACACCGCCCAGAGTATCACCAGACGTCTCACATCTTTCCTCGGTCTTTTGCAAGGCGTCCACGAACCTCACGAGGTTTATTGCTTTCTTGAATCTCCATTTTTTTTGTTCCAGCTGATATTTGTCCGGTATCACACGAAGCTTAGGCAGGGTTGACAAGATTTTCGGCGAAAGTCTTGCGACTTTCCTGGCTCTCGTTGGTAACACGGATATTAGACGAGAGTCCCGCGATAAGCAAAGGAAGCAACAGCGCTCGCCGCTGAGGATGTAGAAGTATGGTCCATACTCATCACAATAGGTGCATCGACTCGATTGCAGTACTGCGTGTAGATGGGCAACGCTATACCTCCACGCCAGGCCAGTGCCTACAAGGGCTTTGATCAGCTGTGGTGCGTACTTGATCATGTCTCTGAGTGGAAAGCATCCGTCCACATTCGCTTTCAGATACCGGCTTTGTCGTGACAGAGCCCCTAAGCTTTTGAGATCCAAGTGACAAAATATGTTCTGTAAGACTTCGGAGGGCAAGGACTCCAGACCTGAAGTCCGTTCGCCGAAAGATGAGGCCCTAGAAGGACTTTGTTGAGAGCGCTGAAATGAGGCTATATCAGAAGACGCGAATGAGATGAAAGCTGCTTCAGCTCGGGTCCACCGATACCCATACACTGTGGCGTCCGTGTCGGAGACCATGTCGGGATTGGAAAGAGGTAGCACTCTAGGGAGCGTGGTCGAGGAAGAATGCGATGACGTACAGTCTTATAGAATGTTGTATCGTCCTCGTGTACAAAAGAGCATTTCTGTCTTTGCATACAAATCGAAGCTGTCGATAGGGTCTATTGAAAAGGCGAGGGGTGACTGCCTTCTGCCTAAGTGGCTTTCGGACGCGACCTTTCGAACGCGATAATGACGGCATCGAGGGCTCTACCTACAGACTCCCAATTCGTAAATGACAAACCTGAGGTCATCAGGTGTGCTGTTGATCGACTCTGCAGTATACAGTGAGATGAAAAGGCGATGTGGTGAGATTGAGTAGTCGAGTTGGAATGAACACAGCGGTTGCCGGCATCTCGAATCTCTACTGGTGTTAAGCTGATACATGACCCCGTTGATAGGATGATGGCCAATTGGACCTCATTTTGATCCTATGAGACTGACGTATCAGAGATTATTCAGCTGAATATCTGATCTCCAATCAACGACTTGGGTACATTGCGCTGTACCAGAAATAGAATCTAATGCTTGAAGCTTTAAAACAAAGCAGGGTGAAAAGGGTTTTTGATCCAATCACAACAATGTTTGCGAAAGACGTCTTCAGATGACTGCGTCTCCCTGGCAGAGGTTCGACCACACAAGCGTTCTCGAGGGACGGCGCGTACTATTATTCTCACCGCTACACCCTTCCATTTTCGTCATTGAGCGACGCTCGACATTACGCTTTTTCCGAAAATTAGGTTCACCTATCTTACAGGCTGGTAGAATTTAGCTGGTTTGGCTGGCACGATCTTTTGTGACCTTCAATAATGACTAAAAACGGTGTGGGAGGTCAATATTATGACGCGCTTGCGCAGTTAGGATCTTCCAGTCCTCAGTTATCTGTACAGCATTTGAATTTGACGCAGGTTTCATGACGTCGAATATAAGAACTTTGACCAAGCTGAGCGGGGAGGGTTCTACATCCTTTACACAGTCCTCAACAAATACAGGCGCGCATGATACACTCAGAAGAAGAGTATACGCCACCAACCTGGGGATACTGAAGTTACCCATGAAGTCCGCTCAGGACTCAGGCACAACGGTCCGCCTTTTCTTTCAACCTGAATGGTAGCAAAATGATCACCAAAGCAATACATCCGTACACGAGATCCAACGCCGCGTTCCAAGCCGATAGCAAGAGATATTCAAATTGAAGCTTCGAAGTCTAGCGGTTGCGACAAGAGCAGTAGTGGCTTACTGGAGGATTACCGAGCGGTACTTCACGCGGAGGTCATTGCGTGGACTTGGCAAGGCGAGATCATGTCAATTGTACCAAGCATTCAAGGATCATTTCGCGCGCTTTAATGAGCGGGCGGAGATTTTTTGAATCAGTACATGGTCTGCTGATTGACGGAAGAGGTAAGGCTAGAGCATTATGCAGCTTGTCACCTTAGTATGATCATCAATTGGTGATCGTCTAATTGTTCTTAATGGCCGTTGAAGAGCTTAAAAGTTCTTCATCTGTTATCATTCGATCGGCCAACCTTGCGCAGGGACATTAAGACGCCCTCAACACACAAACAAGATTTCGCTTGCCCTACACACGGTCCTCAGAGCAGACCGACAGTCCTCGCGAACTCAGTAATGCGACGAAATCGGCTCGAAAACGGCTCTGGCAAAGGGTGTAAGTGGCTAAGCTCTTATCTGCAACATTCACAGAAAATCATGCAATAGGCTATTTTGTCGCTTACCAGCACACGGTCCACAAAGTGCTCCGACAACCACCATAGACTATGGCCTGGGCAACGAGAACGGCTCTGGGGAAGCCTAGAATCATTCAGGTACTTATCAGCAACATCTGCGGAATAACAAACGATTGGCCGCTTCGTCGCTTGTCGCTTCCGAATGTTGGATTGAGGCGTTAAAACTCATAGAGGCTCTCCAAGCGCGGCGTGCAGCCCCGTCGCTATACGCGATGCAAGTCCCACTCAGCCGAACGGCTCACATCGAAAATGCCCGAGTGGCCACGATCTATAAAACAGCGAGCGAGACAACCCATCTTCAAAAGTGAGACATACACTGATTGGGACTGTCCTCTATCAACGCCCCCTGAGCCACCACGATGCTTTTCCTATCAAGTCTATTCCTCACCACCCATCTCGCCACCCTCATCTTCGCCCGCTCGATAGTCAGAACCCGCCGATCCAATCTAGATACATCTCAAGGCGTCCCCCAGTACGGCGTCGTGTGCGAGACCGTCAACGAAACGCGCCATCTCCTCGACAAGAACTACATCGACGCAGTCATTTCCACCGGTGTGCAAAACTACAAGTACAAACTGCAGCAAATAGGGTTAAACACAGCCTGGCCCAAGCAATTCGATCCCCTCTGGATGGGTCTCGATGGCAACGGCAACTCCTACACCCTAAACACACCGTCCGCCTCTCACTGCGACCTTTCAAAACCCGGTCTCCTTTACATGCCGATTTCGTACCCTGGCACCGTCGCTCCTGATGTCGTCTCCACAAGCACCGACCAGCCGTCAGGCGGCAACGTAACCACAGACATCGTAGTGTTCCAAGACCCCGACCCGACTACAGGGTATTTGAATGGGCAGTACTGCGGCATTCTGACGAATTCGGATGGTCCGGCGTGTGGGGCGCTGTATCGCAACAAAACACTGAACACGGCGCCGCATGGGTATCGGCAGTGTAACGACGCCGCGCACGACGATGCGCCGGGTGCGACGGGCTTTGAAGTGGGATGTTACTCGGTGCGTTGCTAGGGGAGGGGAGGTTCTTCTTACGGGGCTTGTTCTAGGTGGTGGGGGGAAGGGGATCTATGATACCAATGTGCAAAGACGGGGTAATGGCGGAGGTGTTGGCGTTCAGATCGGAGTTGAGGAAAAGCGCAAGGGCAATCTTCTACGCGGTGAAGAATAGGGTGGGTTGGAAGCTTTGTTGTACATATTTTGGAAATACGGGGCCGAGCTTGGTTTACTGTCGTTTTGAATACCCTTGCTATATAACCATCTTCTATTACTCAACACGCCTCTTTCAACCCACACATTCCTTTGCTTACCGCAAACTCTCACGTGTGCTTTTGTTCTCTAGGCAAGACAACGAGATGACTGTAGACCGTCGACCGCTCCATGACCAAGCCGAGTTCAACAGAACAAACTTGAGTATCAGGCTCTTTGGCAGAACAACCGAACGAGTGCGCTACTTGGTCACAGCACTACGTCACGACTCCAAAGCGCAGAAGCCGGTATTTGACGAATGAAATTACGTGCTATTCAGTGTCACTGACTACTGGTGGTGCTGGTAATGAGAACATTAGACCCATCACGATTCTTTACAAAGTGTATTTGTCTTGGAGCTTTGTCAGGTATCACGGCCGCGTTGGCGAGACTCTAACGGTATGCCTGCGTTAGTCTCCCCTTGCATTTCCAAGCGCCATTGGCTTTCTTTCTTTCTGCCACTTTTTCGATCGAGTCGCTGTTCGTATATTGCAGTTCTTGATGAGACGATGGCATGTGGGGCGATATTAGTCTGAAGGGTTTAAGCTTCTTCCTTGGTTATTCTCGATCTCTTGATCACTTTCTCCGGAGGAATCAATGGTCACGTGTAAATTCGTGCTCATTTCAAGTCATACATGAAGGGATGCAGAAAGACATTGAATCCGAGATTATATTCAATAGGCCAATCGAGATGGCATTTTCATACTCATAACAATGCTACTCGCTCTCGCAATCCCTCCAATCCCCCAAACCACACTCGAAGCACCGAAAATTCCCTCCTGTAGATCACGCCGTCAACCACTCTCACCACTCTCCAGCTTCGATCCCCTTCCACATCGCATCAACTCGCCTCCTCCGCCACTTTAACAAGCTCCAGCAATTCCTCCACAAATTTCTTGACATTTAGCCCGACAGCAGCGAGGAGCGCAGCGACAAGCGTCTCAAATGTGAGGAGGGTAAAATCGGCGGACGCGAGTACTGCGCCAATCGCATCGGTGGCGCTCTTGATGACTGTTTCGAGGTTGGGCACGAGGCCGTCGGTAATCTTGTCGATTTCGGGGATGATGGCGAGGTCTCGTTGGGCGATTATCTGTGTACTGGCGAATATGGGGGCGGGCGAGGGTGACGCGATGGAGAGAAGGGGGAGGGCTAGGAGGGTGGTAAGGAGGGGGGTGGAGAAGCGCATGTTTGCTGTGCTGAGGACTTGGTGGGGGATCAGTGAAGGTGAGTCTGTTGGGGTCTGTGTGTGTATGTGGTCGTGTATAAGTCGTGCCTCTGATCTCGTTGATGAGGAGGAGAGACCTGGAGGAATTGTGGGGATTAAGATATTGTGGGGGGACTTGATGGGTTTTTATGTCAATGGTAGGCCCGACAATCTGCTTGGAACCATGTTGAGATCAGCACGATCGATTCTCAGTGCTCATCAGATGGCCATGCTCGGTCTCCCGAGGGCGGTCAGTTTCTGAGTTAAGAGCCAGCATCAAGCTTGCATAAGCTTTTCGTAGGTCTAGACGCTATGCTGACATCGAGATCGGCGACAGCGACATGCATCGATAGAATATGATCTCCAGAGCGTGATGGGAGCTCGCTTTGTGGATGGTGATTGGAATTTCTATTCCGCTCAATCGAATGTGTTGGCTTCGTCACGACGTCGCATTCACCTGTGTCTTGCCAATGGCTAATGCAAGCTCTGTTGAGCTGCAAAGTCACTGGGATGGGTTTAGACGATCGTGGTATGCATTTCTCACACTAAAGACTGACTGATGCAGTAGGTCAAGATCTTTGACCATCGGTAGTAGTAGAAGTCAAGAGCTACTGGATGAACATACTGAAGTGAACACCGTCTTCAATAGATCCGCATCCGTGACGAAACATACCTTCCCTTCTCTACGACATGTCTGGTCTTAGCTAGAACAGGCTTGACGGTACAAGTGATACTAGATCTGACGCAACTTTGTCAGGTGTTTTTCTGTCGTTTTTCAGCAGAAAAAGGGCAGTGAAAGGTGAGTTAAACTTCACGTCTTTGAGCGAGGAGCGACGTCCCCGTCATTATGAAAGAGCACTACTGGCACGCTAGCCACCCATTTGGGATGCTAAAGAGCGCACTGCTGTAGTCGTAGGGTATAGGGTCTGTCTGACTCTAAGCGAGGTTCATACTGTACTTGTCTCGTGCAGGAATACATAGGTACATTCGATCTGTTTGGGTCGAGCCTTGGCGGCGGTGATGCTCGCACGAAGGACTCAACCAACCATCACTGAGGATTTTCAACGTTCATACATATACTCCGTAGATCACAAGGAGTTCCCCACAAAGCATGTAACCCACACCACAGCGTGCAGGTACGAGATCTCTAGGCTCTGGACAGCTAGATCTGCCAATCATGACGTGGTATTGCAGACAGAAATCTAGAAAGAGTGTGGGGATGAACCAAGCTATAATGTTGCAGAATCTTGCATGATCATTTGGAGATCTTGTTGGTAGGAAATCTTACTACACAAGTATTTTCGTCTTCCCGCAGTTCAATTTGATCTAGCCTTCATACGAGCATCAGAGTCGCTCCACATGTATTCCAAACCGCTTATACCACAGCACCACCACGTAATAACCTTTCAGACTACTGCAGCCCATCCAGCCATGATCAACAACTAGCTCGGATACAGTCCCCCAATCGTCTGTCTTCTAGGATCCAGACGAAAATCAGGCTCACTTAACCCCCTGACAACGCCACGCGAAGGAGTTCATCAATCGCTAAACTGAGGGATTTGATCGCGTTAGTAATGGTGGCTGAAGTAGTACCGGCGAGGGTGTCAACCGCCGCGATTTCACCAGGCACGGCGTTCAAGACCACACCGATTTGAGCTAAGGCATCCTCGAAGAGTTTAGTGAAAGCCGTAAGAAGGGTAGCCAAGATCGCGTTAACCTCCGCGATAACTGTATTTGCGTCTCGCTCAACGAGGTTAAGATTGCGTCCAATGATGTCGACGCTGACCGGGGCGGATGATGGGACGGCAAGGGCCATCATGATGGGGAGGGCGAGGATGCCAGCGAGGATGGCTAGGAAACGCATGGTTTCTAGATGGTTGAAGTTGAGTAGTGGTAATGTTGGTTCTGCGGGAGGATGGATAATTTGATGCTGGCTGGTATTCTGATGAGGATTGGAGATGAGTGTTGGATGTTGAAGGCTGGATTGACTGACTGTGTGAGGATGAAGAAGAAGATCAGAAGGTGGGAGACTTGACTGATTATATATTGGAAGAATGATCACACAACCTATGGGACATGATGGTGCGTCATAAAAAGCATGGACCAATGCGAATGGATCTTGTGAACAATGACTCGATTAGTGGTCACTCGCCGGATGTATGACCATTTGCAGCTTAGGACCAGAGCTGGTCGTCCTCGGTCATCGTAAAATGATATTCCGACTGAAAGTCAAAGACTTCACCGACAGGTAGCATCAGAAAGCAAAAAGCAAAAAGCAGGACCCGTTCGTCCGTCTCATTCTTTATGATCGTACCTCGACGTTATATCTGAGCGCAAGGCTCGGACATCTCGCGTAGCAAGAAATTATGTCTGAAATCGTTATGGTCGAGTCTATTAATCGCTGCTTGAGGGTCAGCAAGCTGTTGAGAAACAATCTTTATCTCAGTCATTCTGAGTACATCCGGTGGCAAACGATGCTCTTGAAAGCACGCAACTACAGTTTAAAGGCGTGGAGGGCGTAGTGCTGATCTCAACATAAGTGCCACTGTAAACAACTTTCGTACCTACCTTTCTCGATGTTCATTACGTACATTGAAAAGTAAGGATGGCATCCGCCGTAGCGGAAATGCTCGTACGAACATTGTCAACGAATCAAATGATAGAGTTGGGACTCATACTTTATCAACGTCACTTTATCGTTACAGTACTCGACGACGGCGAGTCAACGACAAATCATCCAAAGAATTCATAAGTAGGCCCACCTTTCTCTCGTCACCCTTATAATACTAGTGATATTACGAGACAGCCTTGAACAAATATCAAAATATCATTCGATGAAAACCCAAACTCTTTCTTGAAGACGCTACCAATGAATGCTACGACTCTGCACGCCGAAGACCTTCAGTAACGTTTCAAAGACCTTCACGGGAACGAAAGTCTGGAACCTAATCCCATAGACGGGTTTGCCTACCAAGCAAGACGATCTGCGTGCATATTTTCTAATCCGAAAAGTTGATCCATCGAATGCCTGTTTACTCTTCTAGCTGGCTAGCGCTCTTATACCAATGTACACGTGGTACTAGCCATTTACTTATTTCTGCGCAGAAGCTCGGAGAGCCTCTTTGCAATCTTGCTTTTCATTGGAGGCAGCGCTAACTCGAGGCTGTGTACAAGGTGAGGTTGTGCATCATGTAAAAGAAGTAATCATTGTCGTTCAATAGGGCGCTCACCTTTGAATGACTTAGAAATATAATTACTCATTTCACATCAGCTGGGTGCTTCTTGAACAAATCGTATGCCTCGCTTCCTGTTGTATGAAAGAGCGTAGCGGGAGGAGCGCTTCGATTCACCGGGCAGTGAACATTGTATTGCATCCGCACTTCCTCGAAGATCAAGGTTTGATAGGCGCTTCAAGATTCGTTGTACGATGATATCGCAGATTGTACAATCCATAGAGTGCTATACTTGGGCTTTACCACCACCCATTATGTAGTATAAACTTCTTCGCGCAACTATTTGAACGCGGTAAAGGCTCGCACGAAATTCTCAACCTATCGGATTTTTCAAAACTTTTCGGGCAAGCGTAGTCAATGAAGTACATGTTTCGCCGTGTCAGATAGGCATCAAGCTGTAGAGAACAGCCCATGAGCAGGCATCCATACATTGCTCTTCCAACGCAGCCATCCCCTGAATGACGTCCTCCTCGATCAAATCACGCTCAGTGTGAATCTTGAATAGCGGAAAACACTCGATAAATTGCATGACTATCTAGAACCAATTACAACAAATCAAACTCGCTCTCACTATCCTTGTAAGTCATATGCCCCCCTGCTGATCAAAAGACAGACACACTCTACAACCAAGCATTCCCATCGACCAGGGTAGCGAGCGCCCACACATAGGCATCAGTAATCAATAGTCACAAATAATACAACAACAGTCCCGGATACTGCCACATCTGATGTTGGTTTTCCCCCAATTGATTCGATTTTGTACTGTTTCTTTGCAATTGCTGTTTCAACCTGCTGTTCGGTTGGTGCAGCCCGTGCTTCGATGCCGTCAGAGGTGGCGGCGTCGGGGAAGGGGGAAGGTGCTGCCATGGCGATGATGGGGAGGGCGAGGATGCCGGTGAGGATGGTTTGAGGACGCATTTTTGTGAGGTAGGGTGGTTGAATATGATAGAAGATAGAAGATGGTTTAATGTTGGTGTTTTGATAAAGGTTGGTTTAGATAATATTTTAGTAAGTGGAAGTAATGTCTGACTGTGCGATGTGGAAAGAGAAAGGGGAGATGAAGTACTCTTTTATAGACTTTGAGAGGTCAAATCCCTCTTCTCCTCGTATTACTTTCAAAAAATGGTGGTGTGCGATTCTCTGCACACACCATCGGATCATGCAAAGTTTTAAGTTCGTACTAAAAGAGAAAGCGGTGGTCAGCTGCACGCCTACGCTTCGTTAGTACAAGAGAAAGTGGACGTCATGATTGGTGAAGCAGTGGCCGATGAGATCCGGGTGGTACGTAGCCAGTGTCAGTGGATTGACATCATCTGGATGTATTCTTGTCAAATTATCGATCTCTGGAATCCACTAAACAACTGACTCACGTGTCTAAGGCTCGGATTTGCTACGGTTAGTTTATTGCTGCTAGCTCCGTTGAATAGCCATCTCCTTCATTCTAGGGCTCAACTCCAGGGAGAACCATATTGATCGGCTTTATTCTCTAGTCGGTAGTAGTTGAAGGAGGTTTTGAGTTGATACAGGTGCCTTGTATCATGTTCTTTATGATCGATTATGATGCTGAACCCGGATATCCTTTGAGCTTCGAGGATTATCTCGTATACCATGCCCAGCATGAGCAAATCCTTGAGATACAATGACGTCCGAAGCTCAGCTCAACGTGACGCTTTCGAAGCTGGTCATGGGAGATATCGTTTTGAGGCAGTGTCATTGGGCGAAATTATCATAAGCCGAAATCCAATGAAA